TCATGGCAATCTCTGCCTCCCAGGTTTGAGCAGTTCTCCTGCCTCAGCCTCCTGAGTAGCTTAGATTATAGGTGTGTGCCACCATGCCGGGATAATTTTTATAATTTTAGTAGAGACAGGGTTTCACCATGTTGGCCAGGCTGGTCTTGAACTCCTGACCTCAAGTGATCTGTCCGCCTCAGCCACCCAAAGTGCTGGAGTTACAGGCATAAGCCACTGAGCCCAGTGAAAGTTGATTTTTCAGTGAACCTTTAGAGGGCCAAGGGGCCCCTATAGCTGCCAACCACTTGTAAGTAAATAGTTGGAAAATTATGCAGAACAAAATTTTCTTCCCAAAATTGGTAAGGGAAGTGTACTCAGTTGAATAGAGTCTTCCCAAAATTCATGTATAGGCTGGGAGCAGTGGCTCCTACCTGTAACCCTAGCACTTTGGGAGGCCAAGGCGGGAAAATCACTTGAGGTCAGGAATTCAAGACCAGCCTAGCCAACATGGTGAAACCCCATTTCTACTAAAAATACAAAAAAATGAGCCAGACATGGTGGCAGGTTCTGTAATCCTAGCTACTCCGGAGGTTGAGGCAGGAGAATTGCTTGAACCCAGGAGGTGGAGGTTATAGGGAGCCGAGATTGCACCACTGCACTCCAACCTGGATGACAGAGTAAGACTCCCTCCATCTCAAAAAAAAAAAAAAAAATTAATGTATAATGGGGAACCTGTGAATGTGGCCTTATTTGGAAATAGGATATTTGCAGATACCAAGTTAAGATGGGATCAGATTGGATTAAGTAGTGCCTAATTTAATGGCTTGTATCCCTGTAAGAAGAGGAGAATTTGCTTACAGAGACACATATAGGAGGCCAGGCACAGTGGCTCATGCCTGTAATCCCAGCACTTTGGGAGGTTGAGGCGGGCGGATCACTTGAGGTCAGGAGTTGGAGACCAGCCTGAGCAGCATGACAAACCCCTGTCTCTACTGAAAATACAAAGATTAGCTGGGTGTGGTGGTGCACACCTATAATCCCAGCTACTCAGGAGGCTGAAGCAGGAGAATTGCTTGAACCTGGGAGGTGGAGGTTGCAGTGAATTGAGATTGTACCACTGTAGTCGTCGGTGCAACAGAACAAGACTCTATCTCAAAAAAAAAAAAAAAAAAAAGAGACATATAGAGGAAAGAATACCATGTGAAGATGGAGTTGGAGGCAGCAACTGAAGTGATGCATCTATAAGCCAAGGAACACCAAGGATTTCTGGCAACTACCAGAAGCCAGGAAGAAGGAAGAAAGGATTATTTTCCAGAACGTTTGGAGATATCACAGTCTGCAGACACCTTGATTTCAGACTTCTAGCCTCCAGAACTGTGAGAGAATACATTTCTTTGTTTTTGTTTTTTTGAGACAGGATCTCACTCTGTCACTCAGGCTGGAATGCAATGGCTCAATCACGGCTCACTGCAGCATTGACCACCCTGGCTCAGGCTCAAACCGTCCTCCCACTTCAGCCTCGTGAGTGGCTGAGTCTACAGGCATGTGCTAAAAAATTAATCCAGCTAATTTTTTATTTTTGTACAGATGAGGGTCTTGCTGTGTTGCCCAGGCTGGTCTCAAACTCCTGGGCTCAAGCTATCCTCCTGCCTTGGCCTCCCAAAGTGCTGAGATAACAGGCTTGAGCCACCTCCCGCTGCCCGATTTCTTTTTTCTTTCTTTTTTTTTTTTTTTTGAGACTGAGTTTTGCTCTTTCATCCAGGTTGGAATGAAGTGGCACAATCTTGGCTTACTGCTACCTCTGCCCCCTGGATTCCAGTGATTCTCCTGCCTCAGCCTCCCAAGTAGCTGGGATTATAGGTGCCCACTACCACATCCTGCTAATTTTTGTACTTTCAGTAGAGACAGGGTTTCCCCAGTCTGGTCTCAAACTCTTGACCTCAGGTGATATGCCCATCTCGGCCACCCAAAGTGGTAAAATTACAGGTGTGAGCCACCGCGCCTCATCTGATTTCTGTTGTATTAAATGCTACCCAGGTTGTTGCTATTTGTGTGGCAGCTCTAGGAGACAAATACTTGAAGCCTATGGAGAAGACACTTGAGCAGAGATGTATTTCAAAACACTAGGAATCTAAGTGGGATAAGCTAACATAGCTGATTCTTCATTGGTGGAAATTTGGACAATTGACATGCATTCATTCAAACTAAAAATTAAAGAGAAAAAAACACATTTAATCATTTCCCTACAGTGACAATTCTCACAACTGTTTGAGACTCTATCAGTTAGATCCCTAGCTCTGTTCTCTCCTTCTTGTGGTAGTGAATAACTAATCTTTGTAACTGTTTTTTAGCTATTTTCACAAATGCTAGGGAATAGCTCGGTTTAGATATTCAGAACTGTGTCACTGGCCAAGCCTCATATGGAATTGCTCATGTCTTCTAGGGCTGTAGGTGTGGTCAACAGCATTTTAAATTTGGTCTTATCAGACATATGCCTCAGCTTTACCATATCATCTGTTAAATGGGAATAATAATAGTAACTGCCCCTAGTGGTGATGTGAGGATTAAATGAGATCATATTTACCAAGCATGTAAAAAAGTGCCTGGCACATAGTTAAGTATTAATCATTGGGCTCCGCTCTGTCTTGCCATTTGGGCAGTTTCTTACTGAACCATGAGTTACTCTAGGATAAGAAGCATGTCTGTTTCATTTTCCTATCCCCAGCACCTACTACCCCTTTCTGGCACACAGTAGGCCCCCAGCAAGCATCTGCTGCTTAAAAGGCACTATCCAGCAGGCAGTATGAAATTTCATCTCTGAGCCTTGGAGAAGGAAGTCAGGTGGAAAAACAGATATGAGTCCTACACATAAACATTTAAGCTTGATCAAAGGCAAGACAATCAGGGAAGAGAGCATGGAGGGAAAATAAATAGAACGCTGGGGAAAGACTGATGGCAGGAGATGAAAGCAAACAGAATAGGGGTTCTGAGAGCGTACCCTTTCAAAGAAGCTATGAAAAGAGTTCAAGGGAATTGAAGTAAGTCCAGAGGAAAGGCTATCTTAAAGGTGGAGTATGAAGAATTGTGGTTAGCAAGCAGCTGACTGAGGTTAATTTTTTTTTTTAAGTTTCAGAGGAAGGAAATGACATTGTGTAATAGTTTTCTCTAACTTGGCAGGCTTTCAAATGTGGGTCCCTGTCTGTCTTGCCAGAAGGGTTGACAGCTAGGGAGCAGGGATAAGCAGGGTATGGGTCTCTCCAAGACTGTGTTTTAAGAAGATTGTATCGAAGTCAAGTTGTATCTTCACTTACAATATAAGATAATAAATTCAAATAAAAAGTCCATTTTTGCCCCTTACTATTTTGTTTAGGCTGCTAAAGCAGGTTTGATGATGTTTTGTCAAGCAGACAAAATTATAAGCAACAAGTTTTTACCTGGATTATCTCCCTCATTGCACTTGAATTTCAATAGGGTTCTACCACCCACGGAGACTAACCGGTTTTCTGAGTTTTTCCTGATACGATTCTGGTAATCACAAATGACCTGAGATCCCTACCCCTCTTAAAAAGGGCAAGAAAAGGGAATCCATATCAATATTTGATAACAGCATTTTAAAAATAATAGGCATAACTTTTGCGTTTAAAAATGTTTTAAAATCTTTAATTTACAAGTGAGTACAAGACATAAAAAATGTTTTTAAAATAAATTTTAGGAATTCAAAACTCCTAAGTGGTCAAATGAGCCCACATCAATCTACCAAACAAGACTGAAATTTATTTTCACAACATATGATCTGATGAAGTTTTTCCTGTTAAATAGAGAAAAATAGACTCCGAGAGGGAAGTTGCTGGAAGGCATGAACCATGTACCATTGAAAAAGAGGTTTTCCAAACTTAGGCGAATGAGAGTCCAGTAAAGACTCTACTACAGGATCTAAAGCCAGCCACTTCCTAGTCTGTGACTTAAATGTTCTCATCTGTAAAGTAAGGGAAAAGAGAAAGGGTGGTATGTGTGTGAATTCTTTAGATATAAAAATAAAGAGAGAAGACATTAATTCTTTGGATATGAAAATAAAGAGAAGGCCGGCCGCAATGGCTCTCACCTGTAATCCCAGCACTTTGGGAGGCCGAGGTGGGTGGACCACCTGAGGCCAGGAGTCTGAGAACAGCCTGGGCAACATGGCGAAACCCCATCTCTACTAAAAATACAAAAATAACTGGGCGGGCAGGCCATGGGGGCTCTTGCCTGTAATCTCAGCACTTTGGGAGGCCCAGGCGGGTGGATCGCTTGAGATCAGGAGTTCGAGACCAGCCTGACCAATATGGTGAAACCCTGTCTCTTGAAAAAAAAAAAAAGAAAGAAAATAGCCGGGCTGCGTGGTGCGTACCTGTAATCTCAGCTATTCTGGAGGTTGAGGCAGGAGAATCGCCTGAACCCGAGAGGCAGAGGCTGCAGTGAGCCATCGCGCCACTGCACTCCAGCCTGGGCGACAGGGCGAGACTTGGTCTCAAAAAAAAGAAAATAAAAGAAAAGAAAGAGAGGACATTAATTTTTGGGGTGTGTGTCTGTGTGTGTTAATTAATTCTTTGAATATGAAAATAAAGAGAAAAGACAACCTTGCCCAGTTTAAGGGGTAAGGAAAAAGGATTCAGGGAGGCTCAGGAACTTAAGGCCTCGAGAACGTGCACCTCCAGCCCCACCCGTCAACCCGCCAAACCGCTAACCCTCCACAGCCTGGGGACACCGCACAGAAACCAAGATGGCGTCAGCCCGCTGGGTCTCGCCTGCGACCCCCGTGACTCTGCACTGCGGCAGCCCAGGCGAGGCCGCGCTCCATTGGCCAACTGAGATGAGGTCATTACGGGGGCGGGGGCCGGCGGCGGCGCAGGGGCGGGGCTTTGCGGACGCACGCGCGTCGAAGCGCTGCTCCCTGAGCTGCGGAGACTGCGGGCTTTGCTGCGGCGGCTGCTGTGGCGGCGGCGGTGGGAGGTGAGCGGGGACTGTAGATACAGCGCGACAGGGAGCGGCCCTCGATGGACATAGGAAATTCTTCCAAGAGCCCTCTTAATTGTCAAAGGAATTAGCAGGGACCTTAAGTCTTCGAGATAAAATGGGGGTTCGTCCCCTCCTCGGGCACCCCTCCTCTGTCCTTAGGAACCGGAGGCTCACTGTCCTTTGGAAGCCCTGAATCCCTTCCCTGTTTCAAGAGGTCGGCGGAGGAACCGGAGGTTATTGGATAGGCAGAAGAATTTAGAAGGCTTCTTAAAGTGTCTCTCAGTTTGGAGGCTTTCCTTTCCTTTTTTCCCATCCCGAGGTAGATATGCCTCGGTCCAGAGAATTCCTGCTCATTGGGTAGACAGGAAATGAAGCAGGTGAATACCCTGGGAGGAGGCGAAGACCGGATGACTGGAGTGAGATTCTGCGAGGCAGGGCGCAGGGGCGTTGTAGTTGGACCTATCTTTTGCAGACTTGCTCTTTCTTCGTATTTTGTTTTGTGATCGTCCAGAACTACTTTGGCCTAATTAGTCTTCTGTTAGCCTCCATTGCTAAAGAGATATTCTTGGGAGACCTGTAATCATTAAAGAGCAGGAGAAGGGAGGCGCCTCGTTGGAGGTTATCATTATCCGCAGCCTCGGAACTATGCTGATCAGGCCTAATTTTATATGTTAGAGGTTGTAGAATCTCTGTTTGTCGAAGGGTGGTGCTGGTAACAGCTGATTTGGATGATTCAGGTGTACAAAATCTTAAAGTCAACCTGCATACTCTCTTCAGAAATTTTTGCTTATGTCTGAGCGTGTGATGTTGTCTTGAACATCAAATGCACAAAGGTTTGTTCGTTCAGATTTCTCAAATTGTTTCCCAGCCTTCCAGAAGAGTAAATCTTCCTTTGATGTCAGACTCATCTGTCAGTACTCAGTATAGATGCCCTTATGACACTAAAAATACTGTACATTTTGCGAAGTTTGGGTACTGGATGGGTTGTGCCCTACGTTAGCTGATCGTGAATAAATAATTGCAGTTTCAGGACCACTGAGAGCGCCAGTTGTCTCATACTTGGCAACCCTAAGACAGCCCTAAAAACGAAACCTTTATTGGCTCATGAGATTTGACAGATGGAAGAATGTAATTAATCTTGAAGGTAGGGATGAAAACAGAAGGCTGCAGAGGTGGAAGGCTTATTCTCTGTGGCTTTAATAAAACTGCTTTGTCATTATCAATGTGTTCCTGCCATGCTTGATTTGAAACTGAGCTTAATATGCAAGCTGGTTGCTTTTTCCAGATAACGGTAATTTGTTTGAATTCCTAAGGGAGGAAATACTGTTTTCTGAGAAATCTGGAAGATTAAACCCTTTAGTGTAGCCATAGCTTTAGGATAGTGCCAGAACTTTAGGCTTTTAGAAATGCGCATTGTCAGTAGAAGGGGGAACGACAGTTACAAGGCAGACATCTTAATGAGAGGGTAATCAAGGCCTCTTCTGTTTGTTTCCTGCAGTAGCAAAAACAGATTGAACATTGTGGAAGTCACTGCCTCAGTACTGTGTCCTGGATATTTAAAGAGTGGTTTGGGATTCCCAGTTCCTGTCTTTAATCTGGGTACATTCTTACCTATTGAGTTGCCCAAAATATTGTCACTTGATCCTGATGTTGACTGCAACTGAAGTGACTTTTCTTTTTCTTTTTTTTTTTTTTTTTTTGAGACAGAGTCTTGTTCCGTTGCCAGGCGCCAGTGATCTCAGCTCACTGCAACCTCTACCTCCTGGGTTTAAGCAATTCTCCTGCCTCAGCCTCCTGAGTAGCTGGGACTACAGGCATGTGCCACCATGCCCAGCTCATTTTTATATTTTTAGTAGAGACGGGGTTTCACCATGTTGGTCAGGATGGTCTCCATCTCTTGACCTCGTGATCCACCCGAGGAGATTATAGGCGTGAGCCACCATGCCCAGCCCCTGAAGTGACTTTTCTTTTCTATTCTTTTTTTTTTTTGAGACGGAGTTTTGCTCTTGTTACCCAGGCTGGAGTGCAATGGCACGATCGGCTCACCACAACCTCTGCCACCTGAGTTCAGGCAATTCTCCTGCCTCAGCCTCCTGAGTAGCTGGGATTACAGGCATGCGCCACCATGCCCAGCTAATTTTTTTTTTGTATTTTTAGTAGAGACGGGGTTTCATCATGTTGACCAGGGTGGTCTCGATCTCTTGACCTTGTGATCCACCCGCCTTGGCCTCCCAAAGTGCTGGGATTACAGGCGTGAGCCACCGCTCCCGGCCTAAAGTGACTTTTCATCTGGCACTCTGTGGGACAGGATTCAGGAACTGCCTTTGCAGTTTCTCCTTTCCATCTTTCTAGGCAGGATATCAAAACAGTTGTTGACCTGTCCTCATGGGGTGGAAGAAATGTAAATGCAAGAGCCTTAGTGGGGTGTCATTTGCTCTTTAGCCCTCTTGGTAATTTCCAGGGTTATGTCATTTTTCTCCTTACTTCAGGTTGGAGAGAAATCCAGGTACTCAGTTGACTGGTACTTTCTGCCACCATGGGGGAGCTTTTCCGGAGTGAAGAAATGACACTGGCCCAGCTTTTTCTACAGTCAGAAGCTGCTTATTGTTGCGTCAGTGAATTAGGAGAACTCGGAAAGGTTCAGTTTCGTGATGTAAGTAGTTGTGGGGCTGCGACTTGATTACTGCTGAACTCTGTTGTTAACATGGTCAGATGCCTTGTGATGAATGTTTTGTTTTTTATTTGCAAAAATAACATTATAGCACTGGCTTCCTTTTGGCAGAATGCATATTTTGAGTTGTCTTTCTAGAGGTGAGAATGTTTGTGCCAGTCCTTCTATGCTTTTGCTAGCTCCCACTTTGAGGACAACCCTAAGTATTCTCCCGGTAATTGTTTGGGATGCAGGGAGAGGTTACCAAACTAACTCGATTAGGGCTTTCACTTTTTTGGGGGGGCTCTTTAACACCTATAGCAGGATATTTAAAAATATATATTAGCTGGGTGTGGTGGCTCATACCTGTAATCCCAGCACTTTGGGAGGCCGAGGCAGGCGGATCATCTGAGGTCAGGAGTTTGAGACTAGCCTGGCTAACATGGTGAAACCCCGTCTCTAGTAAAAATACGAAAAATTAACTGGGGGTGGTGGTGGGCACTTGTAATCCCAGCTACCTGGGAGGCTGAGACAGGAGAATCGCTTGAACCGGGAGACAGATGGTGCAGTGAGCTGAGATCGTGCCATTGCTCTGTAGCCTGGGCAACAAGAGTGAAACTTTGTCTCAAAAAAAAAACCGTACATATATATGTGTATATATAGTAGTTTTTCCATCCAGTAAGACATTTTAAAAAAAATCAAAATTTGACATATCCAGCTATAGATATATAGTATATAAATAAGCATATACTGAATATTCATTATTTTGGAATATTATACTGGGCACTTGGAGAGGCTATCTAAAGAATATGAACAATCTAGGGCGGGCGCAGTGGCTCATGCCTGTAATCCCAGCATTTTACGAGGCCGAGGCAGGCAGATCACGAGGTCAGGAGTTTGAGATCAGCCTCACCAACATGGTGAAACCCTATCTCTACAAAAAATACAAAAAATTCTATCTACTTAAGAGGGAAACATTCCATATATAATTGAAACCTCCTGTGCATCCTTCCTCCTTGCCAGTCCTCTTTCTTCCACCCCAGAAATAACCCGTACAGTGATTTTTTGTTGTTGTTGCTTTTATTACTTCTATGTGTGGGTTTATTGTTGTTGTTGTTGCTTTTCTTTTTGAGACGTGCTCTGTTGCTCAGGCTGGAGTACAGTGGTGTTTAAGTGATTCTCCTGCCTCAGCCTCCCGAGTAGCTGGGACTACAGGTGAGCACCACCATGCCCAGCTAATTTTTGTATTTTTAGTAGAGACGGGGTTTCACAATGTTGGTCAGGCAGGTCTTGAACTCCTGACCTCAGGTGATCCACCTGCCTCAGCCTCCCAAAGTGCTGGGATTACAGGTGTGAGCCACCATGCCAGCCAACAGATTTTTTGTTTTCTTCTACTTCTGTTAATTTTTGTGGGTTTTTTTTTTTTTTTTTTTTAATAATAAAATTTATAACATTAAGAAAAAAAAAGAGATGGGGTCTCATCATTTTGCCCAGGTTGGTCTTGAACTCCTGGACTCAAGCAGTCTTCCTGCCTCAGCCTCCCAAAGTGCTGGGATTACTGGTGTGAGCCACTGCTTAGCTGAAATGTACACATCTTAATAGAACAATTTGCTGAATTGATAACTTTATGCACATCTGTAACCAGCACCCCAATCAGGATACAGAACTTTTTTTTGTTTTGGAGACGGAATCTTACTCGGTTGCCCAGGCTGGACTGTGGTGGTGCAATCTCAGCTCACTGCAACCTCTGCCTCCTGAGTTCAAGCAATTCTCCTGCCTCAGTCTCCTGAGAAGCTGGGACTATAGGGTGATGGCCACCATGTCTGGCTAATTTTTTGTATTTTAGTAGTGATGGGGTTTCATTGTGTTGCCCAGGCTAGTATTGAACTCCTGACCTCAGGTGATCCACCCTTCTTGGCTTCCCAAAGTGCTAGGATTACAGGTGTGAGCCAACGCACCCGGCCTGAACATTTTCATCAGTCCAGAAAAGTATCTTGTGTTTACTGCTAGTTGCTACCCTTCATAGGTAGACTCTGTTTTGATTTCCATCATCATAGGATTAGTTTTTCCTGTTCTTGACATATATGTAAATGACTCATATATATATATATTTTTTATTTTGTTTTATTTTATTTTTTTGAGATGGAGTTTTGCTGTTGTTACCCAGACTGGAGTGCAATGGCATGATCTCAGCTCACCACAACCTCCGCCTTCTGGATTCAAGCAATTCTCCTGCCTCAACCTCCCGAGTAGCTGGGACTACAGGCGCGCACCACCATGCCCAGCTAATTTTTGTATTTTTAGTAGAGACGGGGTTTCACCTTGTTGACCAGGATGGTCTCGATCTCTTGACCTCGTGAACCACCCGCCTCGGCCTCCCAAAGTGCTGGGATTATAGGTGTGAGCTACCACGCCCGGCCTGACTCATATATTGCAAATTCTTTTTTTTGTTTTGTTTTTGAGATGGAGTCTCTCTCTGTCACCTGAGGTCAGGAGTTTGAGACCAGCCTGACCAACACTGAAACTGACAAAGTCTCACTCTGTCACCCAGGCTGGAGTGCAGTGGTGTGATCTTGGCTCACTGCAACCTCCACCTTCCTGGTTCAAGCAATTCCCCTGCCTCAGCCTCCTGGGTAGCTTGGATTACAGGCACGTGCCGCCATGCACAGCTAATTTTTTGTATTTTTAGTAGAGGCGGGGTTTCACCATGTTGACCAGGATGGTCTTGATCTCTTGACCTCGGGATCCACCCACCTCGGCCTCCCACAGTGCTGGGATTACAGGCATGAGCCACTGCGCCCGGCCAAGTTTTGATTTTTCTTAAGCAAATACAGTTGTCCCTTGAAAATGCAGGGGTTAGCTGATCCCCGCCCCCCCGTGCAGTTAAAAAATCTGCATACAACTTTGACTCCTCCAAAACTTAACCACTGATAGCCTGCTTTTGACCAGAAGCCCTAACAATATCATAAGCAGTCAATTAATACATATTTTGTATATGTATTGTATACTGTATTCTTATAGTAAAGTAAGCTAGAGAAAAGAAAATACTGTTAAGAAAATCGGGCCGGGCGCGGTGGCTCATGCCTGTAATCCCAGCATTTTGGGAGGCCGAGGTGGGTGGATCACGAGGTCAAGAGATCGAGACCATCCTGGTCAACATGGTGAAACCCCGTCTCTATTAAAAACACAAAAAAATTAGCTGGGCATGGTGGCGCGTGCCTGTAATCCCAGCTAATCAGGAGGCTGAGGCAGGAAAATTGCCTGAACCCAGGAGGCGGAAGTTGCGGTGAGCTGAGATCGTGCTATTTGCACTCCAGCCTGGGTAACAAGAGCAAAACTCCTTCTCAAAAAAGAAAAAAGAAAATCATAGGAAGATAAACTATATTTACTGGAAGTGGATCATCATGAAACTCTTTATCCTTACTGTCTTTATGTTGAGTAGGCTGAGGAGGAGGAAGGGGAGGGGTTGGTCTTACTGTCTTAGGGTGGCCAACTTGGAAGAAAATCTGTGTATAAAAGGATCAGCACAGTTCAAACTACATTGTTCAAGGGTCAACGGTAACTGAGTAGTGGAATGCTCAGTCAGGGGTGGGAAGGTATATGTTTAACTTTGTAAGAAACTGCCAACAGTTTTCCAAATCTTCTACTTCTTTCCCGATAGCATTTATCACAACAAATTGTAATAATTGGTTTGCATCTCTCTCCTCTGTGGAGTTGAAGACTGAGACATAGCTTGTTATTATTAATGATTCTCTTTAATAAACATTTTTGCCTTAGATTCCCTTTAATATTAATATATTGAGTTCTTGAAGAGAGAACTGTTGAATGCATGGATATGTATGTGTGTGTTTTTATGTTTCTATGTGTGTATGCATATAATATATAAACACATATATGTGATTAAGCTCATAAATTGTGTTGTTCAACTTTTCAAATTGAGGACGTAGCTTACTCTTTGTATTTTCTCCAGTGCCTAGTTCAGTGTCTGACACATATTTGGTGCTTCATAAATGTTGAGTAAATATAGTTCTTTATTTATGTTACTTTTATAGAATTTATCATATACTATTTTTTTTTTTATATTTTATTTTTTTAATTTTTTATTGGATTTTAGTTTTTGGGGAACATGAGCAGAGCATGTAAGACAGTTGCGTAGGAACACACATGGCAGTGTGCTTTTCTTTCCTTCTCCCCTTCACCCACATTTGGCATTTCTCCCCAGGCTATCCCTCCCCACCTCCCCCTCCCACTGGCCCTCCACTTTTCCCCCAGATAGACCCCACTGTTTAGTACTCCCCTTTCTGTGTCCATGTGCTCTCATTTTTCATCACCCACCTATGAGTGAGAATATGTGGTGTTTCATTTTCTGTTCTTGTGTCAGTTTGCTGAGGATGACGTTCTCCAGATTCATCCATGTCCCTACAAACGACACAAACTCATCATTTCTGATTGCTGTATAATATTCCATGGTGTATATGTGCCACATTTTTCCAATCCAGTCTATTATCAATGGGCATTTTGGTTGATTCCAGGTCTTTGCTATTGTAAACAGTGCTGCAATGAACATTCGTGTACATGTGTCCTTATAGTAGAACGATTTATAGTCTTTTGGATATATACCCAGTAATGGGATTGCTGGGTCAAATGGAATTTCTATTTCTAAGGCCTTGAGGAATCGCCACACTGTCTTCCACAATGGTTGAACTAACACTCCCACCAACAGTGTAAAAGTGTTCCTTTTTCTCCACATCCTCTCCAGCATCTGTTGTCTCCAGATTTTTTAATGATCGCCATTCTAACTGGCGTGAGATGGTATCTCAATGTGGTTTTGATTTGCATCTCTCTGATGACCATTGACGATGAGCATTTTTTCATACGATTGTTGGCCCCATATATGTCTTCTTTCGTAAAGTGTCTGTTCATATCCTTTGCCCACTTTTGAATGGGCTTGTTTGTTTTTTTTCTGTAAATCCGTTTGAGTTCTTTGTAAATTCTGGATATCAGCCCTTTGTCAGATGGGTAGACTGCAAAAATTTTTTCCCATTCTGTTGGTTGCTGATCCACTCTAGTGACTGTTTCTTTTGCCGTGCAGAAGCTGTGGAGTTTCATTAGGTCCCATTTGTCTATTTTGGCTTTTGTTGCCAATGCTTTTGGTGTTTTGTTCATAAAGTCCTTGCCTACTCCTATGTCCTGGATAGTTTTGCCTAGATTTCCTTCTAGGGTTTTTATGGTGCCAGGTCTTATGTTTAAGTCTTTAATCCATCTGGAGTTAATTTTAGTGTAAGGTGTCAGGAAGGGGTCCAGTTTCTGCTTTCTGCACATGGCTAGCCAGTTTTCCCAACACCATTTGTTAAACAGGGAATCCTTTCCCCCTTGCTTGTTTTTGTCAGGTTTATCAAAGATTGTATAGTTGTAGATATGTTGTGTTGCCTCCGGTGCCTCTGTTTTGTTCCATTGGTCTATATCTCTGTTTTGGTACCAGTACCATGCTGTTTTGATTACTGTAGCCTTGTAGTATAGTTTGAAATTCGGTAGTGTGATGCCCCCCGCTGTGTTCTTTATGCTTAGAATTGACTTGGCTATGCAGGCTCTCTTTTGGTTCCATATGCAGTTCATGGTGGTTTTTTCCAGTTCTGTGAAGAAAGTCAATGGTAGCTTGATGGGTATAGCATTGATTCTGTAAATTACTTTGGGCAGTATAGCCATTTTCACGATATTAATTCTTCCTAACCATGAACATGGAATGTTTCTCCATCTGTTTGTGTCCTCTCTGATTTCGTTGAGCAGTGGTTTGTAGTTCTCCTTGAAGAGGTCCCTTACGTTCCTTGTGAGTTGTATTCCAAGGTATTTTATTCTTTTTGTGGCAACTGTGAATGGCAGTTCGTTCTTGATTTGGCTTTCTTTAAGTCTGTTATTGGTGTATAGGAATGTTTGTCATTTTTGCACATTGATTTTATATCCTGAGACTTTGCTGAAGTTGCTTATCAGTTTCAGGAGTTTTTGGGCTGAGGTGATGGGGTCTTCTAGGTATACTATCATGTCGTCTGCAAATAGAGACAATTTGGCTTCCACCTTTCCTATTTGAATACCCTTTATTTCTTTTTCTTGCCTGATTGCTCTGGCTAGAACTTCCAGAACTATATTGAATAGGAGTGGTGAAAGAGGGCATCCTTGTCTAGTGCCAGATTTCAAAGGGAATGCTTCCAGCTTTTGCCCATTCAGTATGATATTGGCTGTTGGTTTGTCATAAATAGCTTTTATTACTTTGAGATACGTTCCATCGATACCGAGTTTATTGAGGGTTTTTAGCATAAAGGGCTGTTGAATTTTGTCAAATGCCTTCTCTGCGTCAATTGAGATAATCATGTGGTTTTTGTTTTTGGTTCTGTTTATGTGGTGAATTACGTTTATAGACTTGCGTATGTTGAACCAGCCTTGCATCCCGGGGATGAATCCTACTTGATCATGGTGAATAAGTTTTTTGATTTGCTGTTGCATTCGGCTTGCGAATATTTTATTGAAGATTTTTGCATCTATGTTCATCATGGATATTGGCCTGAAGTTTTCTTTTCTTGTTGGGTCTCTGCCGGGTTTTGGTATCAGGATGATGTTGGTCTCGTAAAATGATTTGGGAAGTATTCCCTCTTTTTGGATTGTTTGAAATAGTTTTAGAAGGAATGGTACCAGCTCCTCTTTGTGTGTCTGGTAGAATTCGGCTGTGAACCCATCTGGACCTGGGCTTTTTTTCGTGTGGTAGGCTCTTAATTGCTGCCTCGACTTCTGCCCTTGTTATTGGTCTATTCATAGTTTCAGCTTCCTCCTGGTTTAGGCTTGGGAGGACACAGGAGTCCAGGAATTTATCCATTTCTTCCAAGTTTACTAGTTTATGTGCATAGAGTTGTTTGTAATATTCTCTGATGATGGTTTGAATTTCTGTGGAATCTGTGGTGATTTCCCCTTTATCATTTTTTATTGCATGTATTTGGTTGTTCTCTCTTTTCTTTTTAATCAATCTGGCTAGTGGTCTGTCTATTTTGTTGATCTTTTCAAAAAACCAGCTCTTGGATTTATTGATTTTTTGAAGGGTTTTTCGTATCTCAATCTCCTTCAGTTCAGCTCTGATCTTAGTTATTTCTTGTCTTCTGCTGGGTTTTGAGTTATTTTGATCTTGCTCCTCTAGCTCTTTCAATTTTGACGATAGGGTGTCAATTTTGGATCTCTCCATTCTCCTCATATGGGCACTTATTGCTATATACTTTCCTCTAGAGACTGCTTTAAATGTGTCCCAGAGGTTCTGGCATGTTGTGTCTTCGTTCTCATTGGTTTCGAAGAACTTCTTTATTTCTGACTTCATTTCATTGTTTACCCAGTCAACATTCAAGAGCCAGTTGTTCAGTTTCCATGAAGCTGTGCGGTTCTGGGTTGGTTTCTGTATTCTGAGTTCTAACTTGATTGCACTATGGTCTGAGAGGCTGTTTGTTATGATTTCAGTTGTTTTGTTTTGCATTTGTTGAGCAGTGCTTTACTTCCAATTATGTGGTCAATTTTAGAGTAGGTGTGATGTGGTGCTGAGAAGAATGTATATTCTGTGGATTTGGGGTGGAGAGTTCTGTAAATGTCTATCAGGTTTGCTTGCTCCAGGTCTGAGTTCAAGCCCTGGATATCCTTGTTGATTTTCTGTCTGGTTGATCTGTCTAATATTGACAGTGGAGTGTTAAAGTCTCCCACTATTATTGTGTGGGAGTCTAAGTCTCTTTGTAAGTCATTAAGAACTTGCCTTATGTATCTGGGTGCTCCTGCATTGGGTCCATATATGTTTAGGATCGTTAGCTCTTCTTGTTTTATCGATCCTTTTACCAGTATGTAATGGCCTTCTTTGTCTCTTATCATATACTATTTTATTGGTTGGGTTCATCTTCTCTATTAGATTACAAGTTATTTAATTAATTAATTTATTTATTTTTGAGACATAGTCTTTCTCTCTTGCCCAGGCTGGAGTGCATTGGCACAATCTCGGCTCACTACAACCTCTGCCTCCCAGGTTCAATTGATTCTCCTGCCTCAGCCTCCTGAGTAGTTGGGATTACAGGCCTGTACCACTATGCCTGGCTAATTTTTTGTATTTTTAGTAGAGACAGGGTTTCACCATGTTGCCCAGGCTGGTCTCAGACTCCTGAGCTCAGGCAGTCCTCCTGCTTCAGCCTCCCAAAGTGCTAGGGTTACAGGCGTGAACCACCTCGCCCAGCCATTTTTTTTTTTTTTTTTTTTTAGACAAGAGTCTTGCTTAGTTGCCCAGGCTGGAGTGCAGTGGCGTGATCTTGGCTTACTGCAACTTCCGCCTCCTGAGTTCAAGCGATTCTCCTGCCTCAGTCTCTGAAGTAGCTGGGATTATAGGTGCATGCTACTACCACACCCGGTTCATTTTGTATTTTTAGTAGAGATGGGGTTTTGTCATGTTGGCCAGGCTGGTCTTGAATGCCTAACCTCAGGTGATCCACACACCTCAGCCTCCGGAAGTGCTGGGAGTACAAGCGTGGGCCACTGTGCCTGGCTGGATTGCAAGCTTTTTTTTTGAGATGGAGTCTCTCTCTGTTGCCCAGGCAGGAGTACAGTGGCCTGATCTCGGCTCACTGCAACCTTTGTCTCCCGTGTTCAAGCAGTTCTCCTATCTCAGCCTCCCTAGTAGCTGATACTATAGGCACCTGCCATCACGCGCAGCTAATTTTTTGCATTTTTAGTAGAGACAAGGTTTCATCATGTTGGCCAGGCTGGTCTCAAACTGCTGACCTCAGGCTACCCACTCGCCTTGGCCTCCCAAAGGGCTGGGATTACAGGTGTAAGCCACTGTGCCAACAGATTGCAACCTTTTTAGTGAGTAGGAACTTGTTTTTTATATTCTAGAACATCTGTCATATTACTTTGAAAATTACTTGTGGTGCCAGGCACAGTGGCTTACGTCTGTAATCCCAGCACTTTGGGAGCCGAGGCGGGCGAATCACGAGGTCAAAAGATTGAGACCATCCTGGCCAACATGGTGAAACCCTGTCTCTACTAAAAATGTGCATAATTAGTTGGGCATGTTGGCGTGTGCCTGTAGTCCCAGCTACTCCAGAGGCTGAAACAGGAGAATTGCCTGAACATGGGAGGCAGAGTGAGCCAAGATCATGCCACTGCACTCCAGCCTGGCGACACTGTGAGACTCCATCTCAAAAAAAGAAAAAAAGAAAATTACCTGTGGTGTATTGGCATATGAATGAATAAACCAAGCCTGTCATTGAGGAGGTGAAGGCCTTGGTACAGAAAAACAAGAGAAGTTCCTCTTCTCCTTGGAAAAAAAGAGAAGGAAAACCAGAGAGAGCTTCTGTGATATTCATTGCCCACATTTTAAGTGGTGGGAAGGAAGCTCACTGAGACTTTTGGCCTAGGAAGAACATTTTGTACCATCATGCTTTACCTAATTTGCCTCCATTCCAGTAATGTCACAGCAACAAGGGAGGAAGTTTTTACTCTTAGCTGGTGTGAATGGTCATTAAGCAATTTTTTTTTGGATCTATAGACAGTTTTTATTAGTGTTGCATCCATGCATTGACACAAAATTAGTTTTTCACTTTGCAGAATGTGTTGTTTGAGAAACAGAAGAAATAAATCCAGTGTTTCAATGTTTGTTATTGTGTTTTTATTTTTCAGTTAAATCCAGATGTGAATGTTTTCCAAAGGAAATTTGTGAATGAAGTTAGAAGATGTGAAGAAATGGATCGAAAGCTTCGTATGTGCATTTTGGTCATGTGTAGTGTACCTTTAATGAATCATTTGTCTTAGATTTTATTTATTTATTTATTTTTGAGATGGAGTCTTGCTCTATCACCAGGCCAGAGTGCAGTGGCATGATCTTGGCTCACTACAACCTCTGACTCCCAGGCTCAAACAATTCTCCTGTCTCAGCCTCCTGAGTAGCTGGAACTACAGGCACGTGCCACCATGCCCAGCTAATTTTTGTATTTTTAGTAGAGAACGGGGTTTCACCATGTTGGCCAGGATGGTCTTGATCACTTGACCTCATGATCCGCCTGTCTCAGCCTCTCAAAGTGCTGGGGTTACAGGCGTGAGTCACTGCACCCGTCCTTGTGAGTTTTAAATAACAGAACTACATTATAGAATTCTGAGAAATAGGACCCAGTCCACCATCAGTTTTTGTCAGCAGAGCCACCTTTTAATTTGAGCTATTTATGAGGGAGGAAACTAACATGTACTAAAGTTCTGTTGGGGGCTGAGTTGCTCATATGTTATTTTCTTCATTCCCCATAACATTCTTTCAAGATGGGTGTTACCTCATTTAATAATGGAGGGAACTAAAGATCAGAGAAGCTTATGACTTGCCCTAGGACATAAACAGTTATGATGGAATCCATATTTGAAGCCCTGTTGTTCCGTCTGGCTCTGAAATTCATGATCTTGCCACTCTACTAAGCCAGCTTATGGTTACCTGATAAGTGAATTTGATTGCCATTCTAAAAGAAGTTGTAGTTGTTACCTGAAACACTTTTCTTATTACAAGTTCTACTTTTTTATTTTTATTTTTTATGCTTAAAACTGATTGGCCAGGTGTGGTGGCTCACGCTTGTAATCCCAGTACTTTGGGAGGCTGAGGCAGGTGGATCACTTGAGGTTGGGAGTTCAAGACCAGCCTGGCCAATATGGTGGAACCCCATCTCTACTAAAAATACAAAATTAGCCAGACATGGTAACGAATGTCTATAATCCCAGCTACTCAGGAGGCTGAGGCAGGAGAATTGCTTGAACCCAGGTGGTGGAGGCTGCAGTGAGCCAAGATTGCACCACAGCACTTCAGCCTGGGCAACAGAGCAAGACTCCGTCTCTTAAAAAAAAAAAAGTAGGGGCAGGCGCAGAAATAAATAAACAAATTAAAAAAAATAAAAGTAAAAAAAGAAAAAAAACTGATCTGATTGTTTTCAAATTTAATGAACCCCTTTAGATCTGCGGTTGTCTCACTAGTGTGTGAAGTGTTAGATATTCTATTGCATTATATTCTTCTTCCATAACTCTGCTTTGCCAATGAGATCTATAATTATAACTGTCATACTTCAGAGTGGCAGTTGCATAGGGAGAAGAGGTGCAGCCTTGAAGGCCAGTGTTAAGACCTGTAGAAGGAAAGAAGGCCTTTGGAGTATTTTTAAGAGATTGTGAGGTCAGAGAAAGAGGGAGTTGTAGAAAAAAGGTGCTACTTTTATATTAAAAGAATATATTTTATGTGTATATGAATATATTAATATAAAAGTATCTTTTTTGAATAAGACATTTTGTAGCCAGGCTTTAGATGTTGATTGTTTTCCTTAAATAATGACAATTTCAGGCTGGGTGTGGTGGCTTAACGCCTGTAATCCAGCACTTTGGGGGCCCGAGTCGGGTGGATCACCTGAGGTAAGGAGTTTGAGACCAGCCTGACCAACATGGTGAGCCCCCATCTCTATTAAAAATACAAAATCGGCCGGGCGCGGTGGCTCAAGCCTGTAATTCCAGCACTTTGGGAGGCCGAGGCGGGTGGATCACGAGGTCAACAGATTGAGACCATCCTGGTCAACATGGTGAAACCCCGTCTCTACTAAAAATTACAAAAAATTAGCTGGGCACGGTGGCGCGTGCCTGTAATCCCAGCTACTCAGAAGGCTGAGGCAGGAGAATTGCCTGAAACCAGGGGGTGGAGGTTGCGGTGAGCCGAGATTGCGCCATTGCACTCCAGCCTGGGGAACAAGAGCGAAACTCCGTCTCAGAAAAAAAAAAAAAATACAAAATACAAAATCACGCCGGGTGCAGTGGCTCACACCTGTAATCCCAGCACTTTGAGAGGCTGAGGCAGGCAGATCATGAGGTCAAGAGATTGAGACCATCCTGGCCAACATAGTGAAACCCCATCTCTACTAAAAATACAAAAATTAGCTGGGCGTGGTGGTGTGTACCTGTAGTCCCAGCTATTCAGGAGGCTGAGGCAGGAGAATTAATTGCTTGAACTCAGGAGGCGGAGATCGAAGTGAGCTGAGATTGTGCCAGTGTACTCCAGCCTGGTGCCTGGCAAAAGAGCGAGACTCTGTCCCCCCCCCCCAAAAAAAAAATAATAATAATATACAATTAGCTGGGCATGGTGGCACATGCCTGTAATCTCAGCTGCTTGGGAGGCTGAGGCTGAAGAATTGCTTGAACCCGGGAGGTAGAGGTTTCAGTGAGCTGAGATTGCGCCTTTGCCCAGCCTGGGCAACAAGAGTGAAACTCCATATCAAAAAAAAAAAAGCAATTTCAAGCATGTGCAATTAGACATGAATGTTTTGATTCTGTCATTTTAGGATTTGTTGAGAAAGAGATAAGAAAAGCTAACATTCCAATTATGGACACCGGTGAAAACCCAGAGGTTCCCTTCCCCCGGGACATGATTGACTTAGAGGTAAACAGTTCTTTCTTTTTTTATTTAAAATATTTTAATTTCATACTTTCAAGACAGAAGAGGTAAACAGTTCTGAGAAAACCAGAAAAGTTTCTTTCTACTTAAATGTAGAAATTACTTTCCTTAGTAGGTGGAGAGTAGAGTAATTCTTGCTAACTTTGTCAACATTATCTACTGATTGTAAGTTTCTTATAGGTGGAATTCAAATGAATTTCCCCTCTTTTTTATTGATGGGTAATATTTGTATACATTTATGGTATACATGTGATTTTTTGTATATACATAGAATGTGTAGTGATCAAGTGGGGGTATTTGGAGTATCCATCACCTTGAGTATTTATCATTTGTATGTGTTGGGAACATTTCAATTCCTCTCTTCCAGCTATTTTGAAACATACATTGCTGTTAACTACAGGCATCCTACTCTGCTATTGAGCATTAGAACTTATGCCTTCTATCTAGCTGTATGTTCGTCCACATTAACCAACCTTTCTTCATCCCCCTAAAAATCCACACACCCTTCATAGCCTCTGGTATCTGTCATTCTACCTTGTACTGCTATGAGATCAACTTTTTTTTTTTTTGAGACAGAGTCTCACTCTGTCGCCATGTGCCAGGCTGGAGTGCAGTAGTTTGATCTCAGCTCACTGCAGCCTCTTCCTCCCAGGTTCAAGCAATTCTCCTGCCTCAGCCTCCTGAATAGCTGGGACTACAGGTGCATGCCACCACACCCAACTAATTTTGTATTTTTAGTAGAGACAGGGTTTCACTATGTTGGTCAGGCAGGTCTTGAACTCTTGACCTCAAGTGATCTACCCGCCTCAGCCCAGGGAATATTATTATTATTAGTTTTTTTCGAGACGGAGTTTCGCTCTTGTTACCCAGGCTGGAGTGCAATGGCGCGATCTCGTTCACCGAAACCTCTGCCTCCTGGGTTCAGGCAATTCTCCTGCCTCAGCCTCCTAAGTAGCTGGGATTACAGGCACACGCCAGCATGTCCACCTAATTTTTTTTTGTATTTTTAGTAGAGACGAGGTTTCACCATGTTGACAAGGATGGTCTCGATCTCTTGACCTCGTGATCCACCCGCCTGAGCCTCCCAAAGGGGAATATTATTTTAAGCCAAAAAAATTTCATAAAGAAAATGGATGGCTGGGCACAGTGGCTCATGCCTGTAATCCCAGCACTTTGGGAGGCTGAGGCAGGCAGATCACCTGAAGTCAGGAGTTAGAGACCAGACTGACCAACATGGAGAAACCCTGTCTCTACTAAAAATACAAAAAATTATCTGGGCATGATGACACATGCCTGTAATCACAGCTACTTGGGAGGCTGAGGCAGGGAAACAGCTTGAACCCAGGAGACGGAGGTTGCGGTGAGCTGAGATCGTGCCATTGCACTCCAGCCTGGGCAGCAAGAATGAAACTGTCTCAAAAAAAAAAAGAACAAATAAAATTGCTCTAGTAAAATAATAGTATTTGCTAGGCAAGTGCAAGATCTCTTTTAACTATCAGCTTGGCAACAGTTCTGTGGGATGAATTTATTTAATGTCTTTCAGAACAAGCATTGAGTTTAGCTTAATCTACTTTCTTTTTTTTTTTCTAGGCCAATTTTGAGAAGATTGAAAATGAACTGAAGGAAATCAACACCAACCAGGAAGCTCTGAAGAGAAACTTCCTGGAACTGACTGAATTAAAATTTATACTGCGCAAAACTCAGCAATTTTTTGATGAGGTCAGACTATTGTTTCTTTTAGTATTTGAGCAGCTGATATTATACTCACACAGTGGGCCATATTTTTATTCCAGTAATTATTTTAATTTGCTAGTTTGGAAGCAATGCCATTTTTGCACCCTGTTTTAGTTGAAGAAATATGAGATTATGTTCCATTTTTCATGCAGTACACAGCCAGCCATGGTTTTATATTTTTTCACATTTTCTTCAATTTTTCATCTCAAGATGAGGAAAGGAATCCTGAAGCAGTTGTATAAACATAGTGTAAATTTTTACGTTACATTTATACTTACAAGGTAAGTATATGCTTAAGGTCAAAGCTGAAGAAACAAACATTTGGTTATAGACAAAATTAGAACAAAGGTTTAATCACCAAACCTTTTGTCATCAAATTTTTATTTTATTCTCTATGTCTGCTTATAAACCTTCGAGCACATTTTTCCGTACTTTAGATAGCACACGTCACACTAATTTTTCAAGAGTCTTTCATTGTACTATATGGGAAATATTGGTAGGATGCTTATTTGAAACTCCTTCATTATCACATAAACTTAGATGCATTACCTTAGAGGGAAAAATGTTAATAAGTTCCTGGGTTCAACATGTAGATGAGGCCAGGCATGGTGGCTCACGCCTATAATCCCAGCACTTTCAGAGGCTGAGGCAGGCGGATCACCTGAGAACAGAAGTTCGAGACCAACCTGGACAACATGGTGAAACTCTGTCTCTACTAAAAATACAAAAACTAGCCAGGTGAAGTTGTGGGTACCTGTAATCCCAGCTACTCAGGAGGCTGAGGCAGGAAAATCATTTGAACCCAGGAGGTGGAGGTTGCAGTGAGCCGAGATTGCTCCACTGAACTCCAGGCTGGGTGACAGACTAATACTCTGTCTCAAAAAAAAATGTGGATGACTTGGCTGGGCATGGTGGCTCGTGCCTGCAATCCCAGCACTTTGGGAGGCTGAAGAGGGCAGATCACTTGAGCCCAGGAGTTCAAGATAAGCCTGGGCAACATGCTGAAACCCCATTTCTACAAAAAATACAAAAATTAGGCAGGCATCGTTGCACACGCCTGTAGTTCCAGCTACTTGGGAGCCTGAGGTAGGGGATTGCTTGAGCCGGGGAGGCAGAGATTGCAGTGAGCTGAGATTAAGCCACTTTATTCTAACTGGGCGACAGAGTGAGAGTGTCTCAAAAAAAAATGTAGGTCACTTAGTCCAGATGACTGTGCTGAGGTGACCCCATGGAAAGGATCTGAAGCAAGGCTTATAGAAGGCTCTCTTCTCCTAACTCAGCCTGGGGAGGAGTCTTAGCTTTCAACTGGGATGTGGTTTCTCTGATGGCCTAAAGTACGGTAATTGTCTTCTTGACAGATGTCTTTGCCACCAGATTGACAATATTAGACACTTTAGGGATTGTTACAGTCAATGTTCAATGTGCCTTCCTCTAGTTCTTTAATTCCTTTGCTCAGCAGGACAACTTGGCAAAGCTTTTAAATATGGAGGGCCTTTTTTTTTTTGGAGACAGAGTCTCGCTCTGTTGCCCAGGCTGGAGTGCAGTGTTGTGTGATCTCAGCTCACTGCAACCCCCACCTCCCAAGCTCAGGCAATTCTCCTGCCTCAGCCTCCTGAGTAGCTGGGATTGCAGGTGCTCACCACCACCTCTGGCTAATTTTTGTGTTTTCAGTAGACACAGGGTTTCACCATGTTGGCCAGGCTGATCTTGAACTCCTGGCCTCAAGTGATCCACCCACTTCTGCCTCCTAAAGTTCTGGGATTACAGGTGTGAACCGCTGTGCCTGGTAGGGGCCTATTTTAGTTAGCATCTGCTGTGTTCTCAGTTTTACTTTAAATTTATTTTTTTTCTTTATTTTTTAAAAATTGTTTTTAACTGCCTCACCTCAGAAATTTTTATCATTTGAGGGGAGATCAGTTATCCATAATTCTTTTTTTTCTTTTTTCATTTTTTTAAATATCCAATGTTATAGTAGTTATCCATAATTCTCTAGGCTGGAGAATTGGTTTTCAACCAACAACAGCAGCCTCACCTATAATCTTGTCAGAAGTATGAATTGGCAGTCTCCACCCTAGACCTACTAAATCAGAAACTGTAGGTGTTAGGCCTAGCAATTTGTTTTAACCAGGTGATCCTGAGGCATGCTAGTTTGAAAACTGCTGGGCTAGAGAAAGTCTGCTGAGGAGGTGATACATTCCTCACTTATTTAAGGATTTGACTCAGAGAAGCCATTTAATTAAAAGGATTTGCTGGGGCAAGGGAAGGGGGAAAAACTCATATGAATTTAATTGCCTGGTCCTTCCAAGAATCAGAAAGCACAAATATTCAGCTTGCTCATGGAGTTGAGAATTTTGAGACTAGTGCTAACTTCTTTTGCCAGTCTCTAATGGCATCACATTAGAGGGTGTGGGACAGTGTGATTAACTCTTTCTAAGTGTTTAAGGTCTTTTGCAATAGGCATGGCCACTTAAGCCATATGTTTTTAATGAACCTGCAATTCCAGTATGCTCACTACCCAGACATTACTGTATTCTTGATCACTAATTCACTGAGCATATAATGAGCATTTACTCATTGTGAGACAAGATGAGTAAGACATGGTCCCTGTGTTCAAGGAATGTATCATTCAGTCATATTAAGAAACACTTCAGAACATGAAGCTTTTGTGTGTTCACAGATGTGTGGTTTTCTAAACATGTCCAAGCTGCTACCCACAGATCTGATGTAAACCTGGCCTCATAGAGCTCAGCTACTTTTTAGCATTATTTGGAACTTAATTCTTTTACCCTCCTTGTCCCCATTTTTTTTCCATTTTGATATACTCTTTAGTTTACTGCTGAGGTATTGCTGCTATCTTATATGAAAATGTCTTTCAAGACCTCCTAAGTTTAAGAATGAGAACCGGCTTCCTATTATGGTTCATTTTTGGAGAAATTCTGAATAAAGACTGATAGATGGATTCCCTTAAGGGAAATAATTATTTAAACTGTTACTTTCCTAATGAAAATAAGAGAAACCACTTGGAAAAATAGTTTTAAATCATAAGTTATAGATTTTGGAATTTTATTTTTTGAGGATTGATAAGTCAAAACACTAAATGCTTATCTTGGGAAGGCAGACTCTAAGTCTTCATGATCTGTGGTCCCTATTCATGGTATATTGTTTTCCCCCTCCTATTTTATTTTATTTTTCCCAATATCTGGAAATACTTAGAGCACAAGACAGTGACTGAGAGAGATTCTCACACTGCTTTTGTCATCAATTCCCCTTTCATTCCGAGCAGCCTCACTGCAGTGCAAGAAGTCTGTTGGCAAAAACCTCTGTACCTTGCCTGTTCTTGCACTAGCTCACAGCCTCACCCAGGTCCCTTTCCATAGACCTTGCCCTGCTGCTGCCTGGCAGAAGGCTCAGGTGTCAGTGCCACAACTTTGCATCTGCACATTCAAGCGCACTTCAAATAATGCAAAATATAGGACACTTGGGACCCTCAAATGTTGGAAACAGGATTTTTCATGAGATTTTCTTCCATGTCTGAAATAATAATATTTGCAAAGGGCCTAAAACACTACCAGTTTTAAACTCTTTTTTTATAATTTGGTGACTGCAATCAGTAATTCACAGTAATGAGTTAGCATAAAATGCCTACATTGGAAAATGATTCTATATTTAGGCATATATGATTGGCAGAGTGTGTATAAGGGGAAAAATAAACATTGAATATTCTTATGATTAAAGATGATTACAAATTTGACTTAGTCATTTCTTATCTAGGGCATTTAAAATGAGTTATTAATGATTATCCTTTTCTCAGTCTTCTTGCTTATGAAGAACTGTAAGAGCTGGAGAGATTTCTCTGCATCTTTTACCATAAGCACCATAACATATGAGAACATAAAGAAGACTGGAAAAGTAATGGTTAATGGCATGCAGATCCCTGCTTTCCTTTCCTTCTCAGTTTTCCATCCATCTGCTTTCTTTATTTTCTTTCCCATCTACCATTTCCTTTGGAGCTTGGGTGAATATCTTAAGTGATGAACTATAATTTTTTTTCTTGATGTAGATGGCAGTAATTGTTTGTTCTTGGTAATTGACATGGCTTGAACTGGGTGCGCTATTTATACTTCATTGCTATAGAAACTGCTACTTCCTTTTTGTAAGGCATAGTTTTCAGTATCTAAATGGAGAAAGGGCTAAACCAGAGGGCATAGCAAGTAATGACAAGGAACATTTGCAATGTTGTTGTTAGAGGACCCAGATACCCTTAAGATAAGCTTGTCTAGCCCATGGCCCTCAGGCCTCATGTGGCCCAAGACAGCTTTGAATGTGGCCCAAGACAGCTTTGAATGTGGCCCAACACAAATGCGTAAACTTTCTCAAAACATTATGAGACTTTTTTTGCAATTTTTTTTTTCAGCTCATTAGTTATCATTAGTGTTAGTATATTTTATGTGTGGCTCAAAACAATTCTTGTTCCAGTGTGGCCCAGGGAAGCCAAAAGATCAGACACTCCTGCTCTAAGATTTAGATACTGTCAACAACATGGTTTTAGATATTGCTTTAAAGGCCTTCAGTTAGTGAGTGGTTCTAGTCATCCCAGTTTCCTACCAGGCATACTTTTATTTAAAAATTTGTAATTTTTCTCTCTAAGACAGAATTCTTAAGTATGAAGTGGTGAAATTAGCAATTCAAATGCAAGTTTATGTTGAATTTTAATTCTTTCGTTTTTTATTCTCAGAGGGTCCTAGATAGAGTATTTGTAGTGGTCTAGTTGCTAAGTGCTGTTTGCTGTTCCATCGGTTGTACACTTTACAGCACATGTGTTTGCACTGAGTTTGATATTTAGGGTTGACTTAAACCAGGTCTTGTCAAACATGCAGGCAAGCAGGATGGAATCTTGTGAGTAGCAGTCAGGCTCACTGGTTTTTGCCAAGGGATATCCCTAGAATAAGTTGAAATGCTGTAATCATCAGGATCCTGAGAACAAGTTGCTTGCAGTCAGCTGATTTGATTCCAATTAGAAACAAACAAACAAACAACAAAAAAACTCCTCAACTTCCATGTAACAGCAAGTGGTAACCAGTGTCTCCATGATCTCATCTTAAATTTTTCCAATCTCATTACAGTATTTCTCTGCTCTTCTGGTATTGATCGTTACTTCCCAAAACAATTGCTTTCAATTTTTTTGAGATGGAGTTTCCCTCTTGTTACCCAGGCTGTAGTGCAATGGTGCAATCTCAGTTCACTGCAACCTCCGCCTCCTGGGTTCAGGCAATTCTCCTGCCTCAGCCTCCTGGGTAGCTGGGACTACAGGCATGCACCACCATGCCCAGATAATTTTTGTATTTTTTTTTTTTTTAGTAGAGACGGGGTTTCACCATGTTGACCAGGATGGTCTCGATCTCTTGACCTTGTGATGCACCCACCTCGGCCTCCCAAAGTGCTGGGATTACAGGCTTGAGCCACCGCGCCTGGCCTGCTTTCAATTTTTTAGGCCTTCAGGCTTATCATCTGGTTTATACAGTTTTCCCTTTTTTGCTACGTTTATGATCCTATTACTTTATCAAGTGATGGTCCCTGTGCCACATTTTAATAGTGTGGCTGACAGGAATAGAATCAAATTGAAATTTGGAATGAAAATGATAGAGAAAAACTCTTCTGACTTTTTGTTTTGTTGTGCTCTTGAAGAAGATGATTGTTCTGGCTTACTTCTAGTTTTTGGTCAAACAGGTAGTGCCTGGATATTTCAAGTTGGGGAGATGAGGCAGTGGAGAAGTTGATTGGATTGTTTTTATTTTGTTTTGTTTTGTTCATTTGGAGCAGCTTCTCCTTTCTAATGGGAGTAAAGGATGGTAGGATGAGTTGGGTAGAGAGAGGCTAGAAATGTAGACCCGTGTGTGGCAAGATCCTTCTTTTCCTTCATTTCATTGTATAAACTGTCATGGTGGAAATCATTTTAAATCTCACCAATTAAACCAGCCCACGAGCTCAAGAAAAGCTCTTGCTTTTTCTTCACTTTACTTGATTCTTGAGCTGTGTTCTCAAGAATCCTACACCTGTAAAGCATATGTGAACTTATTTAGGAAATTGCTACATGGAAAATAGGACATTCAGATATGTTTTTACTTTTTCTTCCCTTTATGGATGCAGTGGAGGCTCAGGCCTGCCCAGCTATTATGCTTCTTATCCTTTTGAAGACATAAATACTTTTTAAATCCCGTGGCTTGGATCATTCTATAAGTGGCCATGATGAAAGTTCTCATGTTCTGAATTTTAAAGCGACTGGAAACTTAGGTATCTGGAGCTGCCCATTCTGATTTTTCACCAGACTACACAGTATTCAAAGACAGTGCCAGTGCCTTGCTTCTTCATTGGAAAGAGAGCCTCTGTCTTTCACATTCTCACACAGGGAAAATTCTAGTTTGTAGCTACCTAGAAATTAAATGTTGAGAGTATCTGCAGAGCCTCTTCATTATTGCACAGAAGGGAGAGATGTTTTAGCTTCCTATCTACATGCAGAGGTATATCCTGGTACTTTCATGGTTCATTCAGAGAAACAGGAGAGAAAATGGCTTCCACCAAGTAACAGATTTATACATGTCATCATCATTTAATGGTTTTTTTTAAAATTTCTTATTTCTAAAACCATTTCCCCAGATGCTTTACTGGGGCAATTATACTTTCTTTACTTCAAATTTATTTTCTTTGTTTTCATCCCCTATTCTTGTCTTTTTGTGGGTATATCTTGTCTTTTGGTGGTTTGCTTTCTTTTTCATCCTTATTTTCTGAACCTGTCTCCTGGTTCCTCGTTCCCTGCATGCCACTAACTATTTTCATTAGATATTAATTGATTTGTGAATTCAGGCTGAATTGCATCATCAGCAGATGGCGGATCCAGACCTGTTGGAAGAGTCCTCATCCCTCTTGGAGCCAAGTGAGATGGGAAGAGGCACGCCTTTAAGACTTGGGTAAGTGCCATGTCAACCTTTCTGTATTCAGTGGGGCCATGTTCATCTCTGCTTTTCAGAAGAGCAGTGAGATTGGGGATTCACTTGCTATCAGGATATGGCCTCTTCTGAGATACTCCTGTTAAGACTGTGACTCTGGATTCGTGCCTGAGTTGCTTTGTTAGCTGTCTGCTGGGTCCAGAAGTGAGGCTGGGAATAAGACTTTGTCTTAAAACCTTCCATCCCATGACATGGAATAGAGTTTCCAGTCTGCCTCTTCTCCCCACAGCTTCGTGGCTGGTGTCATTAACCGGGAGCGCATCCCTACTTTTGAGCGCATGCTTTGGAGAGTGTGCCGGGGAAATGTGTTCCTGCGACAGGCTGAAATCGAGAACCCCCTGGAGGATCCTGTGACTGTAAGACAAGGAGATTGCATCCTGTGGAGTAGGTCTTGTAAAGGGAGCCGAGAGCAGAAACGCAGCATGGGGCCACCTGAATTCACCCCTTCCACAGAGTAGCCATTATCTTTAACTCTGCTCTAATTGGAGAATTTGAAGTACTTCCTCTAAGTTAATTCCTGTCATATGTACACATGGATATATGATGTGTATATGACATATAAATATTTTCAAGCTTTACCCATGTAGATGTTATTCTGATTGGAAATTTTTATTCGCACTTATTTGCAAGAGAATTAAAGCAAGACATCTCTTCCAAATTTGGTCTTCTTTTTTTTTTTTTTTTTTTTTGAGATGGAGTCTCACTCTGTTGCCCATACTGGAGTACAGTGGCACGATCTCAGCTCACTGCAACACCTGCTTCCTGGATTCAAGTGATTCTCCTGCCTCAACTCCTGAGTAGTTGGGATTGCAGGTGTGCTCCACCATGCCCAGCTCACTTTTTCTGTATTTTCAGTAGAGACAGGGTTTTACCATCTTGCCCAGGCTGGTCTTGAACTTCTGACCTCAAGTGATCTGCCCGCCTTGGCCTCCTAAAGTGTTGGGATTATAGGTGTGAGCTACCATGCCCGGCCCCAAATTTGGTAATATTCATGTATAAAAAGAGAAAGAAAGGCCGGGCACGGTGACTCAGTGCCTGTAATCCCAGCGCTTTGGGAAGCCAAGGCGGGTGGATCACGAGGTCAGACAGTTCAACACCAGCCTGACCAACATGGTGAAACCCCATGTCTACTAAAAATACAAAAATTAGCTGGGCATGGTGGCCCAGCTACTCAGGAGGCTGAGGCAGGAGAATCGCTTGAACATGGGAGGTGGAGGTTGCAATGAGTTGAGATCACTTCAGTGCACTCCAGCCTGGGCAACAGAGTGAGACTCTGTCTCAAAAAAAAAAAAAAGAGAGATTTTCTAAACTGTGATTTTATAAGCTGATGAAATTTTACTTAGTAAAGTTTTTTTGTCTTTTGTTTGTTGGAAGGATTAGAAACTTAGTTAAAGAATAGATATTGCACAAAACGGGATTATCTTCCCCAGCCAGTACTTCAGGAAGTAGAAACAGTTTAACATCCTGGCATTTGCCATAATGGGACAGAGTTTATCGTCTGAACCTGCATTTAGGTATGGTAAGTCCTGATTTCAGGGAGTACAAGTAAAGATTAAATGTACTACAAAAATTTTACTTTGCTTTTGTACTAGTATTATTTAGAAACCTGAAGTTAGTTTTTCTGTTCTAAATTATTTTGTGAATTTCTTAAATTAGTATTCTTTACCTAAGAAGAGAGATTGAATTGTAAGATTTCCCAGATGGGTGGGCTGTGCAGCAGCATGGCTTTTATCCTCCATGCCGTGGAGGAGTGTGGTGACACTTCAGGTGAATCCCCTGCCTTAGTAGTTTCACAATCTTGCCAAAGGCCATCAGGTTGTGGAAACATCGTAATCTGTAGTCACACTAATGAGGAACTGTTTTTAGGAATATTCAGTCAAGTTTCCTCTTGGCAACAGAAAGGTTATTTTATCAAATCCCCCGAAGGGGACCCTGGTTATCTGTAACAGAGCAGCTGCACAAAGAATGGGTTCTAGTTTAGCCCGGAGAATTTAGGGATTTAAGACTCTTGAACCTAATTTTCTTCACTCCTCCTCTCCTTTTATCCTTCTAAAGTTTTGTCTGTTATTATAAAAGCTGTACCTGCTGTGTCTATGAGAAAATACAGGCAACCAGAGACAGTTCTGGTTAATACCCCGTATACCTTTTTTTCTGATCTTTCCTTCCAGTTCTTGCATCATACTTTAGGTATAAACTTGGTATTTGGAATGGACTGCCTTCCTCCCTGCCCTATAAAGTCCAGACTAGCTTGAATTGTGAGATTCTACACCAGCATTCCTCCCAGGGACTCAGTTCCTTGTAGTTATTAACACCTGTTACCTAAGAATTTCTAAGTTCCAGAACAGACAGAAATGGCTTCCTTCTCTTTTCTTTCCTATACTTTTGTCATTCAGGCAAAATAAGATTTAAAGGTGAATTGGTAAAAAAAAGTCTACACAGTACTAAGGGGAGCATCATCTTAGCTTCAAGCTCCTGGTTGAGTAAAAAAAAAAAAACAGATGATTGCGGATTAGAGATTATAAGGCAGAGATGTTCTTGTGGTGAAGCTCAGGAAATGGAGTGAGGGGAGTGGTGAAAGTGTAAGATTGCCGTGTCCTTAAAGGATGCCTGTTGTTCTTACATCACCAGAAAAGTTGGTTAAGAGGTTTTTATCCAGATATAGAAGTCTGAACTCTTGTTTTTTTATTCTGGGGCCTAGGGTGACTACGTGCACAAGTCTGTGTTTATCATTTTCTTCCAAGGCGATCAGCTGAAAAACAGAGTCAAGAAAATCTGTGAAGGGTAAGAGAGGCATGCCTCTACCAGGCGTGCACAGCCATGCCGCCCACCTACTCAACATCTTAAAGTTCAGAATAGTGAAAGATAAATCCTTTTTAGTCTACCTTGACACAGTAAATATATCTCTTAATACTGTTAGGGGATATTTTAATCAATTAGAAATAGCCTAAATTCATTTTTATTTTTGTTGTTCAGGTGGGGGATCTCACTCTGTCACCCAGGCTGCAGTGCAGTGGCGTGATCACAGCTCACTGCAGCTTTGACTTCCCGGACTCAAGGGATCCTTCTGCCTCAGCCTCTAGAGTAGCTGGGACTACAGGCGTGCTCCACCATACCTGGCTAATTTTTTGTATTCTTCGTAGAGACAGGGTTTTACCATGTTGCCCAGGCTGAACTGGAACTCCTGGACTTAAGGGATCTGCCCACCTCAACCTCCCAAAGTGCTGGGATTACAGGCGTGAACCACTGCAGCCGGCCTAAATTCTTTTTTTTTTTTTTGGCGCAGCCGAGTCTCACTCTGTCACCCAGGTTGGAGTGCAATGGTGTGATCTCAGCGAACTGCAACCTCTGTCTCCCAGGTTTAAGTGATTCTCCTGGCTTAGCCTCCCAAGTAGTTGGGATTACAGGCGTGTACCACCACACCCAGCTAATTTTTTTTTTTTGGTATTTTTAGTAGAGATGGAGTTTCACCATATTGGCCAGGCTGGTCTTGAACTCCTGACCTCAGGTGATCCTCCCACCTCGGCCTCCCAGAGTGTTGGGATTACAGGCGTGAGCCACCACTCCTAAATTCATTTTGAAAAATACCATCAGAATCACAATTTTGGCCTGACACAATGGCTCATGGCTGTAATCCCAACACTTGGGGAGGCTGAGGCAGGAGGATTGCTTGACCTCAGGATTTGAAGACCAGCCTGGCCAACTTAGCGAGACTCATCTCTATTAAAAACTAAAAAAAAAGAACCACAATTTCCTTAACTTGGGAAAAAAATAACTCTAAGGACTCATGGTTTATAAATGCCATATTATTCTGGGACAGTGAGTCTCCATACTTAGCATAGATGCTATGTCCTTAAATTTCCTGGAATCCTGCCTTAGGAACAGATTTTTTTTTTTTGAGTCTTGTGCTGTCACCCAGGCTGGAATGCAATGGCACAATCGTAGCTTGCTGCAACCTTCATCTCCAGGGTTCAAGTGATTCTCCTGCCTCAGCCTCCCAAGAAGCTGGAACTACAGGTGCATGCCACCACACCCGGCTAATTTTTTTATTTTTAGTAGAGATGAGGTTCTGCCATGCTGGCCAGGCTGGTCTTAAACTCCTAATCTCAAGTGATCTGCCCGCCTCACCTCCCAAAGTGCTGGGATTACAGGCATGAGCCACTGTGCCTAGCTTTTTTTTCTTGAGTCAGCGCCTCACTCGATTGCCCAGGCTAAAGTGCAGTGGCATGATCACAGCTCACTGCAGCCTTGACTTCCTGAGCTCAGTTGATTCTCACACCTCAGCCTCACAAGTAGCTGGGACTACAGGCACGTGCCACCATGCCTGACTAATTTTTGTATTTTTTTGTGGAGATGACATTTCACCATGTTGCCCAGGCTGGCCTTGAACTCCTAGACTCGAGCAATCCACCTGCCTCAGTTTCTCAAAGTGCTGGGATTACAGGCATGAGCCACCACACCTGGCCTAGGGACAGAATTTTTTCCATGCCATTTTTAATTTACAATATTATTTGCCTTTTTTTTTAATTTCAAAGAAATTTCATAGCTACAAAGAATGTCAAGATAGTTCAGATGTATAATTGCTCTGTCTGCAGGTCATTTCACATAAATAGTGTTGACTTAAGCTGGGCGCAATGGCTCATGCCTGTAATCCTAGCACTTTGGGAGGCAAAGGTGGGTGGATCACCTGAGGTCAGGAGTTTGAGACCAGCCTGGCCAGCATGGTGAAACCCCTTCTCTACTAAAAATACAAAAATTAGTGAGGTATGGTAGCAGGTGCCTATGATCCCTGCTACTCGGGAGGCTGAGGTAGGAGAATCACTTGAACCTGAGGGGTGGAGGTTGCAGTGAGCCGAGATCATGCCACTTCATTCCAGCCTGGGTGACAGAGTGAAACCCCATCTAAAAAAAAAATAGTATTGACTTAATACATCCATGTGACCTAATCCTGTTTTGGTCCTTCTGGTACATTAGGATTACTTTCTGAGATTATTTAAATTGGATAAATTAAGAAACTTTGATGATCCTAAGGCTGTGTCTGTACATTCCAGGTTCCGAGCCTCACTCTATCCCTGTCCTGAGACACCACAGGAGAGGAAGGAAATGGCTTCTGGAGTGAATACCAGGATTGATGATCTCCAAATGGTACACAAAAGGCTGGAGGAAGTTTGTTTTTGGGGAATATTGGAATACAAGACCATTCTCCCTCCTTGAAACACTGATAGTCTATAAGGCACCTATAGCAAACCAAGATACTAAAAAAGAAATGTCCATGGGTAATATGTCTTTCTGGGAGCTGAGAAAGTCTCAGGGAATAACAGTTAAAAATAGCATTAGCCATCCTCAAACGAGACAGGAATGCTAAGCATCTAAAATCATCATTGCCTAGCGTATTCAATTCCTCTCCACCTCAGGAGTCTGAGTTTTTTTATTTTTATTTTTTTGAGACAGAGTCTCACTCTGTTGCCTAGGCTGGAATGCCATGGTGCTATCTCAGTTCACTGGAACCTCTGCCTCCTAGGCTCAAGTGATCCTCCTGCCTCAGCTTCCTGAGTAGCTGGGATTACAGGCACGTGCCACCATGCCCGACTAATTTTTGTAATTTTATTTATTTTTTTGAGATGGAATCTCGCTCTTTTGCCCAGACTGGGGTGCAATGGCGCGCTCTTGGCTCACTGCAGCCTCTGCCTCCCAGGTTCAAGCGATTCTCCTGCCTCATCCTCCCGAGCAGCTGGGATTATGGGCATGTACCACCACTCCCGGCTAAGTTTTGTATTTTTAGTAGAGATGGGGTTTCACTGTGTTGGCCAGGCTGGTCTCAAACTCCTGACCTCAAGTGATCCACCTGCCTCAGCCTCCCGAGGTTCTGGGATTACAGGTGTGAGCCACTGTGCTCAGCCAAGTCTGAAATATTTTTTATAATAATAATTTCTTAAAAGTATGCTTAGTTAAGAAACATATACTTCAGACAATTTAGACATACACTAGAAGTTAGTTCTGCCCTCTCCCACATGCCCTGCCTACTGAGGCAGCCAATCCCAATAACTTGGCATGCATCCTTGTGGTCACCTTTGATCTTAACCACACAGTCTAGCCAAAGAGCCCTGGTGTGACTCTTGTACCCAAGAAGAGACTGTTTGAATTTTGCCAAATTATAGTAAGAGTGGTTTATGCATACCATGGTTATCACAGGGCTCTGAGGGAGGAGTTGTGAACTATGTGTACATATGGAAAGAAAGGCTGGTGAATGGGGCTTTGTTCCTTTTGAAAGAATGAAAGTGATGATTGCCCCCTTAGAATATTAATAAACATAATATTACCTTAATATAAACATAAAACTGCCTTAATCCCAAAGGCAGTTCCTTTTGGCAGTGGCAGAATTGTCAGAGATATGTTGTAACTTCCATTTCTTTTTTCTTCTTCTTTTTTTTTTTTTTTGAGATGGAGTCTTGCTCTGTCACTCAGGCTGGAGTGCATTGGCATGATCTCGGCTCACTGCAGCCTTGCCTCCTAGGTTCAAGTGATTCTCCTGCCTCAGCCTTCCAAGTAGCTGGGAATATAGGTACCCACCACCACAACTGGCTATTTTTTGTTTTTAGTAGAGAGGGGGTTTTGCTATGTTGGCCAGGCTGGTCTCAAACTCCTGACCTCAGGTGATCTCCCTGCCTTGCCCTTCCAAAGGGCTGGGATTACAGGTATGAGCCATCATGCCCATCCTGTAACTTCCATTTCAACTCTCACTGACCCCCATCATATATGACCCATCAACCTGACCTATTGCCAGGTCCTTTGAGATACACTTACCTGTATAACCAGAGAGAGAGAGAGAGTTTTAGAACTGCTGGTGAATGAGTGATAGGCTATACTAGTACATTCTGGGTTCTAAGGCTGCCTTAATCTCCTTCCAGGCCTATGGGTAGATTTAAAGAGCATGTGCAATAGTCATTATAACTGATCAGAATTTGATTTTTTAAAAATCTAGCTGTAGGAACTGAGAGTTTAAAAAGGGATTGAATACCAAGGAGTAGTATGAGGAAAGAGAAAAGCAAATAGAACATTGCTTGCTAGTTTATTTAGCATCCTTCCAGAAGAAGTTTTTTTTGTTTTTTTTTTTTGTTTTTTTGAGATGGAGTTTCTCTCTTGCTGCCCAGGCCAGAGTGCGATGGTACGATCTGGGCTCCTGCAACCTCCGCCTCCCGGTTTCAAGTGATTTTTCTGCCTCAGCCTCCCGACTAGCTAGAATTACAGGCATGTGCCACCACACCCAGCTAATTTTGTATTTTTAGTAGATGGGGTTTCTCCATGTTGGTCAGGCTGGTCTTGAACTCCTGACCTCAGGTGATCCGCCCACCTGAGCCTTCCAAAGTGCTAGGATTACAGGCATGAGCCACCTCGCCCAGCCAGTTTTTTATTTTATTTTATTTTATTTTAAGACAGATCTCACTCTGTCACCCTGGCTGGAGTGCAGTGGCACGATCTTGGCTCACTGCAGCCTTGACCTTCTAGGCTCAAGCAGTCTTTCTGTCTCAGCCTCCCAAGTAGCTGGGCCTACAGATGCATGCTGCCGTGCTCAGCTAATTATTTTTTGGTATGTTTTTTGTAGAGATAGGGTCTCACTATATTGCCCAAGCTGATCTGGAACTCATGGCCTCAAGCAGTCCTCCTGCCTTGGCCTCCCAAAGTGCTGGGATTATAGGAGCAAGTAATAGTAATTGTGAAATACTCAACAACCAGAAGGAAAGAAAGTATCTATCTTCAAGTGATGTGTTTCCCTAGCATGTCATGACTTTTCTTTTTTTTTTGAGATGGAGTTTTGCTCTTGTTACCCAGGCTGTGCAATGGCGCGATCTCGGCTCACCTCAACCTCCGCCTCCTGGGTTCAGGCAATTCTGCCTCAGCCTCCTGGGTAGCTGGGACTACAGGCACGCACCACCATGCCCAGCTAATTTTTGTATTTTTTTTTTTTTTAGTAGAGATGGGGTTTCACCATGTTGGCCAGGATGGTCTCGATCTCTTGACCTTGTGATCCGCCCACCTCGGCCTCCCAAAGTGTTGGGATTACAGGCTTGAGCCACTGCACCTGGCCCTTTTCTTTTCTTTTTAACAAATAGGTATTCGGTATTTTCTCAGCCATTATTTTTTTAAAAAAAGCAAAACAAAACAAACCTCCTTATGGAAGACAACTTCTTCTGCCCAAGACAATTTTTCAGGGAGTAGTTACTGCTTTGTTTTGAACTTTGTTCTGAACTAACTTGAAGAACTGTCTATGATAGAGACTTCTGCTTTGGGTTGCTTGCCTAATTTCTTCCAATTGGAAGCAACAGGCTTAGCCACACTTACGCTATTAAAAATATGGGCCAGGTGTGGTGGCTCATACCTGTAACCCCAGCACTTTGGGAGGCTGAGGCAGGCAGAGCAGAGGTCAGGAGTTTGAGACCAGCCTGACCAATGTGGTGAAACCCCATCTCTACTAAAAATACAACAATAAACCAGGCATGGTGGCGCGCACCTGTAATCCCAGCTACTCAGGAGAATTGCTTGAACTCGGGAGGCGGAGGTGATAGAGTGAGATTCCATCTCTAAATAATAAATAAATAAATAAATCACTTAAATAAAATATTTCATAGTAAGCCAATGGAATGTAAAATGTTCCTGTACCTTCCTTCCACCCTACTCTTGGCAATGTGATTCCTCTGAGAAGCTTGACAAAGGTAACACCTTAGCTGCCTTCATGATGGCAGTGGTATGTGACATTCCACACCCCCTGTAAAGATCACAGGCCCTCTTGATCCCATGGCGTTTCCTGGCCCACGTTCCCAGTGTAGGTAGGTGGTGGTGGTCAGTGCTTCTGTTCCTTTTTTTTTTTTGAGACGGAATCTCACTCTGTTGCCAGGTTGGATGGAGTGCAGTAGCACAATCTCGGCCCACTGCAACCTCCACCTCCTGAGTTCAAGCGATTCTCCTGCCTCAACCTCCGAAGTAGCTAGGATTACAAGCGCATGCTACCACGCCCAACTAATTTTTGTATTTTTAGTAGAGACGGGGTTTCACCATGTTGGCCAGGTTGGTCTCGAGCTCCTGATCTCAGGTGATCTGTCCGCCTCAGCCTCCCAAAGGGCTGGGATTGCAGATGTGAGCCACCATGCCCGGCCAGCTTCTGTTCTTAAGTGTAGATTTGTTCATTTGTCAGCGCCTGGGCTTGTGATGCCTATCTCTTCAAGTCTAAGTTATAGTCCCCACATAGAAAGTAATTGCTCTTTAATGAGCCAAGTTAAAGGCAGTGACCTACGTTTGTTGTACCTTGGATTGGTGGTAAGATTGAACGTATACAAAAAGGCTAAAAAACTATTTTCTCGGGTTTCTTTTCAGCTTGAAGCTAAATTAAAGTGAATGTTGGTAACTAGCACTCTAATTTCTTGTAATTTGGAAAAAAGAAATCATTCTAGCCAGAGGAAAAAAAAGACAATTCCCTGGCACCTCTTTTCAGAAAGCTATGCCTTTTTGCCATTTATATCCTAAGATCTAAAACTGGTGTTAGAAGGATCCTCCCTGGTTTCTTTTCTCCCCGCAGGTTCTGAATCAAACGGAGGATCACCGCCAGAGGGTTCTGCAGGCGGCTGCTAAGAACATCCGTGTCTGGTTCATCAAAGTGCGGAAGATGAAGGCCATTTACCATACCCTGAACCTGTGCAACATAGATGTGACTCAGAAATGCTTGATTGCAGAGGTCTGGTGCCCTGTCACCGACCTTGACTCCATCCAGTTTGCACTCAGAAGGGGCACGGTGAGTCCCCAAAGCTAGCAATGCAGCTCGTGGCCAGGAAGGGAGGTTCCCATCAATAGTAACCATTTCATTTCTATGGCATTTCAACATCAGGGTTCTTTAATATATTTGGCTTTTAACTTGACAGTACGTTTCATACATAGCCTAGGATATCATATATATATTATATCAGCATAGCAAATCTTTATTTTGGATATGTGGAGACTGCAGTTCAGAGAGCTGAAATAATTTGGTCATATGCCCATGATTCTTCAGGGTCGCTTATGGCCAGAGCATTGGTTTCCTGATGTACTCTCTGTATGTGACTGCTTCTCTTTAGTAGTTAATTAGAACAACTACCACAGAACTGCTGTAAGTGCCTGGAGAAGTACAGAGTTGTTCTAAACATGCCCTCAAGTATCTTACAGTTTATTAGGAGTGTTCCAACTGTGGAGTTGGAAAAAGCTTTAAGAAGGTGGCATTTGATCAGGGCTTTGAAGAATGGTGAGATGTTGGTAAGACTGCGGAATGAAGAGACGAAAACAAAGGCAGGAAGTACAGTTAAACCACGCAAGTTTGGGCAAGAACAGGATTTATAATGGGTTAGCTGAAAGAGGAGAACTACCTGTCTGCATCAGGTAGTTTGGCACCTAATTGTGAACGGTTCATTTTATAATAACTTAGAAGATTCAAATTTTATTCCAGAGGGAATTGAGAGACATTGGAGGTTCTTTAGCAGTGAAAGAACATAATCAAAGCAGTTTAGGTGGTTTCTTAAATTTTTTTTTTTTTTTGAGACGGAGTCTTACTCTGTCGCCAGGCTGGAGTGCAGTGGGCAGTCTCGGCTCACTGCAGCCTCCACTTGGGTTCAAGCAATTCTTCTGCTTAGCCTCCCGAGTAGCTGGGACTACAGGCGGGTGCCACCACGCCCAGCTAATTTTTGTATTTTTAGTAGAGATGGGGTTTCATCATGGCCAGAATGGTCTCGATCTCTTGACCTTGTGATCTGCCCGCCTTGGCCTCCCAAAATGCTGGGATTACAGGCGTGAGCCACCGTGCCCGGCCAATTTTTTATTTTGTTTCTGAGACAGGGTCTTGCTCTGTTACCCAGGCTGGAGTGCAGTGGTGCTATCTTAGCTCACTGCAGCTTCCAACTCCTGGGCTTAAGCAGCCCTCCCACTTCGGGCTCCTTATAGCAGGGACTACGTGTGTCTGCCATCATGCCCAGCTTTTCTGTAGAGACGGGGTTTTGCCATGTTGCCCAGGCTGATCTCAAATTCCTGGACTCGAGTGATCTGCCTGCCTCGGCCTTCCAACATATTGGGGCAAGGCATGGTGGCTCACGCCTGTAATCCAGCACTTTGGGAGGCTCAGGCGGGTACATCACTTGAGGTCAGGAGTTTGAACCTGCCTGGCCAACATGGAGAAACCCCATCTCTACTAAAAATACAGAAAATTGGACAGGTGTAGTGGTGGGTGCCTGTAATCCCAGCTACTCGGGAGGCTAAGGCAGGAGAATTGTTTGGACCCAGGAGGCAGAGGTTGCAGTGAGCTGAGGTTGTGCCACTGCCACTCCAACCTGGGCAAGACCCTGTCTCAAAAAAAAAAAGAAAAATGAAAAAAAATGAGTCACCATGCCCAGCCAATCAAAGCATTTTTTTTTTTTTTTTTGAGACAGAGTTTTGCTCTTGTTGCCCAGTTGGAGTGCAGTGGTGCAATCTTGGCTCACTGCAACCTCCGCCTCCTGAGTAGGGTTCAAGCGATTCTCCTACCTCAGTCTCCTGAGTAGCTGGGATTACAGGCATGCACCACCATGCCCAGCTCATATTTTATATTTTTAGTAGAGATGGGGTTTCATCATGTTGGCCAGGCTGGTCTCAAACTTCTGACCTCAGGTTATCCATCCACCTCAGCCTCCCAAAGTGCAGGGATTACAGGTGTGAGTCACTGCACCTGGCCCAAAGCAGTTTTAAAAGAGTAATTTGCTGATAGTATCTAGGTTCGATTGAGGAGTGAAGAGATTCTGTAGGTAGGGGTTCAGTTAGGAGGCTATTGTAGACATAGAGTAGTAAATAATAAGTATTCCCAGGTAGGACTTGACAGTGGAAAAAAAAACCAGTGATGGCCGGGCGCGGTAGCTCAAGCCTGTAATCCCAGCACTTTGGGAGGCCGAGGCGGGTGGATCATGAGGTCAAGAGAGTGAGACCATCCTGGTCAACATTGTGAAACCCCACCTCTACTAAAAATACAAAAAATTAGCTGGGCATGGTGGCGTGTGCCTGTAATCCCAGGTACTCAGGAGGCTGAGGCAGGAGAATTGCCTGAACCTAGGAGGCGGAGGTTTCGGTGAGCCGAGATCGCACCATTGCACTCCAGCCTGGCTAACAAGAGCGAAACTCCGTCTCCAAAAAAAAAAAAAAAACAGTGATGAATTTGTGAGGTGTTTTGTAGAAAAAATCAATAGGGACACATGGCTCCTAGCAAGGTGCAGGAGAAATACAAGGAGAGATTTAAACATCTTTTTGAGACATCAAAGCTGAGTGGCCAGGAGAATTAGGGTTCCATTGTTGGAAGTAAATGTTCAGCAAGAGTTATTGATTGGGGAAAGATGGTAAGTTCAGTTGCAGTCACATTGAGGTCCATGTCGCAATGTCAAGCAGACAAGGGGACAAAGCTAAGGAAATGGGAGTCATGACGATGACGATGGAAGCGAATGAGACCTCCAAGAGGGAGGTCAAAGAGAGAGAAAGGTTGGAGGCCGGCATTGCTATTAGGCAAAACAGATACAACCAGCAAAGAGAGAGAAGGAATGGTTAGTGAGCAGGAGAATTCCTAAGGAATAAAGACTCACCAAAGATCTCCAACGTGTAGGGGCCATGCCAGGGGAGAGAAGCCCTTTGGTCAGGAACCAGTCACTTTGCATAAGCATGCTCAGCCAGACTGCAAGGGATTAGGAAGTTAAGGTGGTGAGGGAGAGGCAGAGAACACACTTCTTTGCTTTCTCTGTGAAACAGAGATAGTAAGTTTCACAAAAAGTTGATACATAGGCAGTTCCACGTTTTCTCTGGTGACATATTTAAAGTTAAATTTTTTTCATATTAAGGATCTATTTCACAGGATCTAATAGAAATCTTCAACTGTAAATGTTATGCCTTGTCCCAGTTTTTTCAAAGGCTGGGAAAGACAATCTAGTTTTATTTTTTACTGGCTTTATTGAGATACAATTTACACAAAAGAAAATACATATATTTTATGTGTACCACTTGATGAGTTTTGAGAAATATACAGCTGTGTAACCACCACCACCACAATTAGGAGGATAACCTAATTTTGATATATGTGCTAATGTTTTTCAGGAACACAGTGGTTCCACTGTACCTTCCATTCTGAACAGGATGCAGACGAACCAGACTCCCCCAACCTATAACAAAACCAACAAGTTTACCTATGGCTTTCAGAACATAGTAGATGCTTATGGAATTGGAACTTACCGAGAGATAAATCCAGGTAAAAGAAAGCTTGTTGTCATTTTTCTCTAGTGTTTTTGTTTGGTTGGCTTGGTTTGTTTTGAGACAGAGTGTTCCTCTGTTGCCCAGGCTGAAGTGCAACGGCATGATTGTAGTTCACTGTAGTCTCAAACTTCTGGCCTCAAGGGATCCTCCCACTTCAGCCTCTTGAATGGCTAGGACCACAAGCACACACCACCACACCTGGCTAATTTTTTATTTTTTATTGTATGATTTCTTTTTTGAGACTGGGTCTCATTCTGTTACCCAGGCTGTAGTGCAGTGGTGCAGTCATGGCCCACAGCAGCCTCAACCTCTTGGGCTCAAGTGATCCTCCTCCCTCAACCTCTGGAGTAGCTGGGGACAACAGGTGTGTGTGTTACCATGCCTGGCTAATTTTTAAAATTTTTTTAGAGATGTGGTTTCACTATGTTGCCCAGGCTGATAATTTTAAATTTTTTTTAGAGATGGGGTATTGTCATGTTGTCCAAGCTAGTCTTGAGCTCCTGGCTCAAGCAAGCTTCCTGCTTCAGCCTCCCCAAGTGCTGGGATTACAGGTATGAGCCACTATGCCTGGCCTTTTTGTTCATTGTTTCTTCTAATGCCTCACTTTAAATGCTGTTGAACAACTGATTTAAAATTAAAGATGTTAATCCGAGCACTTTTAGAGGCTGAGATGGGAGGATTGCTTGAGCCCAGGATTTCAAGATCAGTCTGGGCAACATAGTGAGACCCCATCTCTATTAAAAAATAAATAAAACATGTTGACACCTCAGCTCTTGTGTACTTCCTGTGAAGACGTGCCCATTCTGGCAGGGCGTGGTGGCTCATGCCTGTAATCCCAGCACTTTGAGAGGCTGAGGCATGTGGATCACATGAGGTCAGGAGTTCGAGACCAGCCTGGCCAACATGGCAAAACCCCATCTCTACTAGAAATACAAAATTTAGCTGGGCATGGTGGCGCGCACCTGTAGTCCCAGCTACTCAGGAGGCTGAGGCATGAGAATCACTTGAATCCAGGAGGCAGAGGTTGTAGTGAACCAAGATTGTGATACTCACTCCAGCCTGGCAACAGATTAGACTGTCTTAAAAAAAAAAAAAAAAAGAAAAGAAAAAAAGGTGTCCATTTAATGTAAAGAGCAGGTTTACTCTCAGGTAGGGTTCCTTTAAGAATTCATTGGCCGGGAACGGTGGTTCATGCCTGAATTCCCAACACTTTGGGAGGACAAGATGGGAGGATCACTTGAGGTCAGAAGTTCGAGACCAGCCTGGCCAACATGGTGAAACCCCATCTCTACTAAAAATACAAAAAAATTAGCCAGGCGTAGTGGTGCGCGCCTGTAATCCCAGCTACTTAGGAGGCTGAGGCAGGAGAATTGCTTGAATCCAGGAGGCAAAAGGTTGCAGGGAGCCAAAATTGTGCCACTATACTCCAGCCTGGGTGACAGAACAAGACTATGTCTCAAAAAAAAAAACAAACATCAGACTGGATTTTTTTTTTTTTTTTTTTGAGACGGCGTCTTGGTCTGTTGCCAGACTGGAGTGCAGTGGTGCAATGTCAGCTCAGTGCAACCTCTGCCTCCCGGATTCAAGCAATTCTACCTCAGCCTCCTGAGTAGCTGGGACTACAGGCCTGCACAATCATGCTTGGCTAATTTTTTTGTATTTTAGTAGAGATGAAGTTTCACCATGTTGGCCGGGCTGTTCTCGATCTCCTGATCTCATGATCCACCCGCCTTTGCCTCCCAAAGTGCTGGGATTACAGGTGTGAACCACTGCGCCTGTCCCAGACTGGACCCTTAAATGTGCTCTCACAGCCATAAAACCACCTGGACTTCACTAGCAAATCATTTGCAGGGGCTGCTTTAAGCAAAATGTTCCTTCTAAGATGTCTGATTTTTTTTTTTTTTTTTGAGACGGAGTTTCAAAAAAACCTCCGCCTCCTGGGTTCAGGCAATTCTCCTGCCTCAGCCTCCTGAGTACCTGGGATTACAGGCACGCACCACCATGCCCAGCTAATTTTTTTTGGTATTTTTAGTAGAGACGGGGTTTCACCATGTTGACCAGGATGGTCTCGATCTCTTGACCTCGTGATCCACCTGCCTCGGCCTCCCAAAGTGCTGGGATTACAAGCTTGAGTCACCGTACCCGGCCAAATGTCTGATACTTTTAAAGGGCTTTTTTGTTTTGCTTCCCTGTTCCAATATTAGACAGATAAAATGTAGCAAGTATTGGCCATTTTAGGCACAGTACAGATTTCGCCTATATTTGGAGAGCTAATTATTAAATCAAGAGTGTGAGGATTCATTTTCATCTGGAGCTGGACACAATAACTGCTTTGCTGTGGGCTTTCTCCATCTGTACGTTATCTGATATTTAGCTTTATACCGCTAAGACATGGTTGCTGCACAAAGAAAAGACAGCTGGCCTGTCCTGGGAACAGTCTCTCACGAGATAGAAGAGAATCAAAGAACAAATCAGTGTTGCCAGGGTTACACCTTTATTTCCTCTGTTCTTTTTTGTTTAAATGTTATCAGAGCTGCCAGGCACAGTGGCTCATGCCTGTAATCTCTGATACTCAGGAGGCTGAGTATGAAGGATTGCTCAAGGCCAGGAGTTCAGGAATAGCTTGGGCAAAATTGTGAGATTCCAGCTTAAAAAAAGTTAAGTTATTAGTAATTAAAAAAAAATTAACCGGGCATGGCGGCACATACCTGTAGTCCCAGCTATTTGGGAGGCTGAGGTGGGAGTACAACTTGAGTCCAGGGGTTCCAGGCTGCAGTGAGCTATCATGGCACCACTGCACTCCAGCCTGGCTGGCAGAGCAAGACCCCATCTCTCTTTTAAAAAAAAGGTTATTGGCTGGGTGTGCTGGCTCACACCTGTAATCCCAGCACTTTGGGAGGCCAAGGTGGGCGGATCACCTGAGGTTAGGAGTTTGAAACCAGCCTGGCCAACATGGTGAAACCCCATCTCAAAAAAAAAAAAGTTATTAATAGTACAAATATCATTAGCCAGTTTGTGAGGATGTGTTGATTCTACTATGAAAGATTTTCTCTGAGAGTTTTATCTGTCTGACAGCTGGGGAATAAGTCACCTTATATTGATCTTAAGAGTATGGGGTCCGGGTGCAGTGGCTCATGCCTATAATCCCAGCACTTTGGGAGGCTGAAGTGGACAGATCATGAGGTCAAGAGATCAAGACCCTGTCTCACCATGTAAAAAAATACAAAAATTAGCTGCGTATGGTGGGACACGCCTATAGTCCCAGCTACTCAGGAGGCTGAGGCAGGAGAATCACTTGAACCCAGGAGGCAGAGGCTACAGTGATCTGAGATTGAGCCACTGCACTCCAGCCTGGTGACAGAGCAAGACTCTGTCTCAAAAAAAAAAAAAAAAAAAAAAAAGAAGAGTATGGAAGTCCAGGTACAGTGGCTCATGCTTGTAATCCCAGCACTTTGGGAGGCCAAGGCGGGTAGATCATGAGATCAGCAGTTTGACACCACCCTGACCAACATGGTGAAACCCCATTTCTACTAAAAATACAAAAATTAGCTGGGCGTGGGGGTGGGCACCTGTAATCCCAGCTACTCAGGAGGCTGAAGCAGGAAAATCACTTGAACCTGGGAGGTGGAGGTTGCAGTAATCCAAGATTGTGCCAGTGCCCTCCAGCCTGGCTGACAGAGCGAGACTCTTTTAAAAAAAAAAAAAAGAGTATGGAAAAGAATGTGATCTTTGTGGAATTGCTATAGTTTTATGTACTTTGTATTTTCCTTTTTTTGGTTTCTTTATAGCTCCATATACGATTATCACTTTCCCTTTTCTATTTGCTGTGATGTTTGGAGACTTTGGTCATGGCATTTTAATGACCCTTTTTGCTGTGTGGATGGTATTGAGGGAGAGCCGGATCCTTTCCCAGAAGAATGAGAATGAGGTAATGTTTAAGTTACATCTGCAACTTAAACTGAAATTTATAATTTCCCAAGCATTCATTGTGAATGTTATGATCTGGGCCTGGCACGCTGGCTCACGCCTGTAATGCCAGCACTTTGGGAGGCCGAGGCGGATGGATCACGCAGTCAAGAGATCAAGACCATCCTGGCCAACATGGTGAAACCCTGACTTTACTAAAATAGAAAAATTAGCTGGGCATGGTGGCGCATGCCTGTAGTCCCAGCTACTTGGGAGGCTGAGGCAGGAGAATTGCTTGAACCAGGAGGCAGAGGTTGCAGTGAGCCGAGATTGCACCACTGCACACTCCAGCCTGGTGACAGAGCAAGACTCTGTCTCAAAAAAAAAAAAAAAAAAAAAGGGCCGGGCGCAGTGGCTCACGCCATAATCCCAGCACTTTGGGAGGCCAAGGCGGGTGGATCACGAGGTCAAGAGATCGAGACCATCCTGGTCAACAAGGTGAAACCCTGTCTCTACTAAAAATTAACTGGGCATGGTGGCGTGTGCCTGTAGTCCCAGCTACTCAGGAGGCTGAGGCAGGAGAATTGTTTGAATCCAGGAGGCGGAGGTTGCGGTGAGCCGAGATTGTGCTATTGCACTCCAGTCTGGGTAACAACAGCGAAACTCCGTCTCAAAAAAAAAATGAATAAAAATAAAAATAAAAAAATAAAGAGGCCATGTACTGTGAAAGTGGCTATCTCATTAGCATTGTATTTGGTCTTTATTTCAAGCTCTCTGAACCAGGATGGGGTAAAGTAGTGCCAGAGAAAGGGGCTGGCATGTTCTGAATAATGTCACAATGTGATCTGCAGTGAGTACATTCTCATTACTTCTTTCTTCTGGTTCCCAGATGTTTAGCACTGTGTTCAGTGGTCGATACATTATTCTGTTGATGGGTGTGTTCTCCATGTACACTGGCCTCATCTACAATGATTGCTTTTCCAAGTCTCTTAATATCTTTGGGTCATCCTGGAGTGTACGGCCGATGTTTACTTATAATTGGACGTAAGTTGCAGAAGAAGCTAAAATTCAAAGCTCATGTCTTTCATGTTCAGCCCTGATTTTTAAGATAAATGGTAAACTGACACTTTAGGAAGTGGGAACGCTGGACGCGGTGGCTCACGCCTGTAATCCCAGCACTTTGGGAGGCCGAGGCAGGTGGATCACGAGGTCAAGAGATCGAGACCATCCTGGTCAACATGGTGAAACCCCGTCTCTACTAAAAATACAAAAAATTAGCTGGGCCTGTAATCCCAGCTATTCAGGAGGCTGAGGCAGGAGAATTGCCTGAAGCCAGGAGGTGGAGGTTGCTGTGAGCCGAGATTGCGCCATTGCACTCCAGCCTGGGTAACAAGAGCGAAACTCCATCTCAAAAAAAAAAAAAAAAAAAGGGGAAGTGGGGACAGTGTCTCCTCATTTATGCTCTGCACCGTGAGGTGCTTTGTGATTTGTTCAGCAAGTGTGAAGGAACTAAGACTAGGAATGATTTTTTTGTTTCTTTGTTTGAAAATGAAAGCAGATTCTCCAGTTCCCTACTTAATTGTGTTTGTGTGTTTTTCTTTTTATCATTTTGGATCCCTCAATCTCAGCTGCTAGTCTCTCCTCTTTATTTTTCCCCCTTCCATTTTATTGAAGAGACAAGATAGCTATACTAATTTATTTTGGGGTCAATTTCTGGACCCCTGTTGTTTCCTTCTCTTGTTAGAAAATAAATGTGACTTTTTCCCTGTCATGGTAGGGAAGAGACACTTCGAGGGAACCCTGTTCTACAGCTGAACCCAGCCCTCCCTGGAGTGTTTGGTGGACCATACCCTTTTGGCATTGATCCAGTAAGAGGACTTCCTATATGCTAAGCTCAAATTTTTTAACGGTAACGCTGAAGCGAGAAAATTAGAGTGAAGATAAATAGTTACGTGGGCTTTTGTTGGACACGGTGGCTCATGCCTGTAATTCTAGCACTTTGGGAAGCTGAGGAGATTGGATCATCTGAGGTCAGGAGTTTGAGACCAGCCTGGCCAACATAGTGAAACCGTGTCTCTGCTAAAAATACAAAAATTAGCTGGGCGTGGTGGCACATGCCTGTAGTCCCAGCTACCCTGGAGACTAAGGCAGTAGAATCTCTTGAACCCAGGAGGTGGAGGTTGCAGTGAGCGGAGATCACACCACTGCACTCCAGCCTGGGTGACAGAGCAAGACTCCATCTCAAAACAAACGAACAGAAAAACAAACAAAAATAGGTGGGTTTTCGTTAATGTATTTTTGGGAAACCTTGACGTATGTCTTCAGAGGACTTCTAAGTCATGATACCCAAGTGCCTTGAGGAGCTGCATACTTTTCCCTGCACTGCTTATTTCTGATGTGGTTAATAATATTGACTCTGGGAAGATTGATTTTCAAGACTCTTTCCCAGTTCTTAATTTATTTCTGATTAGTTTGTTGTTGTTGTTGTTTTTAGCAGATATTTTAACACAGCAGAAATATCTTTTTTCTGTGGATTTTAGACTTGCATTCTTATATTTATAAACTTATAAAAACTTATTGCAGAATTAATTTTGTTTTTCAAATACTTAGGCAAATGAAGGATGATCAAATCTTTTTTATTGTGTGCTGTAAAAATGGAATGGCAGCAAGAATTTAATACAGGGCATCTGGTTGCTGAGAAAAAGTAAAAATAATACAGGATTGGTGAGGTGGGCACACCTGGAATCCCAGCCCTTTGGGATGCAGAGATAGCCAGATCGCTTGAGGTCAGGAGTTCGACTCCAGCCTGGCCAACATGGTGAAACCTTATCTCTATTAAAAATACATAAATTGGGCCAGGCGCGGTGGCTCAAGCCTGTAATCCCAGCACTTTGGGAGGATGAGGCGGGTGGATCACGAGGTCAAGAGATCAAGACCATCCTGGTCAACAAGGTGAAACCCTGTCTCTACTAAAAATACAAAAATTAGCTGGGCATGGTGGTGCGCGCCTGTAATCCCAGCTACTCAGGAGGCTGAGGCAGGAGAATTGCTTGAACCTGGGAGGAAGAGATTGCAGTGAGCCCAGATCGTGCCACTGCACTCCAGCCTGGGGGATATAGCGAGACTTCATCTCAAAAAAATAGATGGAACGACAGCACCACAGGGCTACAATTAGCAAAATGTAGACTGTGGGAAAATATTTAAGATGAACAACCCAATTTATTCAAAAGATACTTTGTAAGGGATAGAAAAGGAAAGATGGAAGGATAACTTATAGTTTAGAGACTCAAGAGAGATGTCTACAATCATAATGTATAGGCTGGGTGCGGTGGCTCGCACCTGTAATCCCAGCACTTTGGGAGGCCAAGGTGGGCAGATCACTTGAGGTCAGGAATTCCAGACCAGCCTGGGCAACATAGCAAAACCCCGTGTGGTGGTGCATGCCTGTAGTCCCAGCTACACAGGAGGCTGGGGCAGGAGAGTCACTTGAACCTGGGAGGTGGAGGTTGCAGTGAGCCAACATTGTGCCACTGCACTCCAGCCATCGCAACAGAGCAAGAGACTCTGTCTCAAAAAAAAAAAAAAAAAAAAATTACGATCTTATCTAGACCCTACTTTGAATAAATTGTTTTTTTTTTTTTAAAAAAGGTCTGGACGTAATCAGAGAACTTTGAATATCGACTGTTTTGTGATATTAAAGAATCATTGTTAATGCATTTAGGTATGATGACAATATTGTGGTCAAGTTTTAAAAATAAGTCCTGGCTGGGCATGGTGGCTCACACCTGTAATCCCAGCACTTTGGGAGGCCAAGGCAGGTGGATCACGAGGTCAGGAGATTGAGACCTTCCTGGCTAACACTGTGAAACCCCATCACTACTAAAAATACAAAAAATTAGCTGGGTGTAGTGGCATGCACCTGTAGTCCCAACTACTCAGGAGGTTGAGGCAGGAGAATTGCTTGAGCCCCAGAGGCAGAGGTTGCAGTGAGCTGAGATGGCACCACTGCACTCCAGCCTAGGCAACAGAGTAAGACTCCATCTCAAAAAAAGTCTATAAGGCTGGGTGCAGTGGCTCAAACCTGTAATCCCAGCACTTTGGGAGGCTGAGGCAGGCCTCAGGCCGGACCTGAGGTCAGGAATTTGAGACCAGCCTGGCTAACATGGTGAAATACCGTCTCTACTAAAAATACAAAATTAGCTGGGCGTGGTGGCATGCGCCTATAATCTCAGCTACTTGGGAGGCCAAGGCAGGAGAATTGCTTAAACTTGGGAGGTGGAGGTTGCAGTGAGGCAAGATCACGAACACTGCACTCCAGGCCTGAACAAAATGAGTGAAACTTCCGCGAGGCGTGGTGGCTCACACCTGTAATCTCAGCACTTTGGGAGGCCGAGGCGGGTGGATCACCTGAGGTCAGGAGTTCAAAACCAGCCTGGCCAACATGGTGAAATCCTGTCTTTAAAAAAAAAAAAGCGAAACTTCATCTCAGTCAATCAATCAAGTAAGTCTTTTCCTTTTTGACAGCTGAAATATTTACAGGTAAAATGACAAGATATCTGGACTTTGCTTCACAATACCATGGAGATGAGTGAGTGGCAATAATCTTGTTTCCCAAGTCCAAAGGTGATAGTAATTTTTGAAGCATTCTCCTCAAAAGCAAGATTTAAAAAAAAAAAAAAATTCTTGAAGCAGAGTGATAGGTGCATAGGAGTTTGTTCTACCTTTCTGTCTGTTTAAGTATGTGTTTAGAATTTTCCATAATAAATAATAATGATTAATAAATAATTTTTAAACAGAGGAATATTTTTCTCTCTGAGAATTCTTTATAATGCCTTTTCGTTTTCTTGGATTATGACAGATTTGGAACATTGCTACCAATAAACTGACCTTCTTGAACTCTTTTAAGATGAAGATGTCTGTTATCCTTGGTATCATCCATATGCTGTTTGGAGTCAGCCTGAGCCTATTCAACCACATGTGAGTTGTTCCATTTCTGTCATAAGAATGTGTGTAGTTTAGAGAATGCATTTACCTAAAGAAATCCTGACATCTTTGGGGAGGGATTCATAACATAGAACCTCATTCTACATTATAGAAGTGCTTTTCTAAAAATTTAATGGTCTGGCTGGGCATGGTGGCTCATGCCTGTAATCCCAGCACTTTGGGAGGCCAAGTCGGGTGGTTTACTTGAGCTCAGGAGTTCAAAACCAGCCTGGCCAACATGGTGAAACCCCCTCTCTACTAAAAATACAAAAATCAGCTGGTGTGGTGGCACATGCCTGTAATCCCAGCTACTTGGGAGGCTGAGGCAAGAGAATCACTTGAACCTGGGAGGCAAAGGTTGCAGTGAGCCAAGATGGCGCCACTGCACTCCAGCCTGGGTGACAGAGCAAGACTCCATCTGAAAAAAAAAATTAAAAAATTAAAAAAAAAAATTCGGGGCCGGGCGTGGTGGCTCAAGCCTGTAATCCCAGCACTTTGGGAGGCCGAGGTGGGTGGATCACGAGGTCAAGAGATCGAGACCATCCTGGTCAACATGGTGAAACCCTGTCTCTACTAAAAATACAAAAAATTAGCTGGGCATGGTGGCGTATGCCTGTAATCCCAGCTATTCAGGAGGCTGAAGCAGGAGAATTGCCTGAACCCAGGAGACAGAGGTTGCGGTGAGCCGAGATCGCGCCACTGCACTCCAGCCTGGGTAACAAGAGCAAAACTCCGTCTCAAAAAAATAATAATAATAAAATAAAATAAAATAAAATTTCATGATCTGGCTGGGTGCAGTGACTTATACCTGTAACCCCATCACTCTGGGAGGCTGAGGTGGGTGGATCACTTGAGGTCACAAATTTGAGACCAGCCGGGCCAACATGGTGAAACTCTGTCTCTACTAAAAATAGAAAAAATTACCTGAGCGTGGTGGCAGGCACCCATAATCCCAACTACTCGGGGGGCTGAGGCAGGAGAATTGCTTGAACCCAGGAGACAGAGATTGCAGTGAGCCTAGATCACACCCCTGCACAGCAGCCTGGGTGAAACTCCATCTCAAAAAAAAAAAAAAAATTCATGGTCTTAAATGAGGCTTAACATTAGTTTTTTAACAATTTACTGTTCCAGTAAAGATCCTTGAAAAAAACTTGAGCAATTTTCATCAAAATAAGTGAGTTCTTTTTCTTCCATTGATGTGCAACTGATATAAAATTATGAGCTGTGGACCAGACGTAGTGGTTCATGTCTATAATCCCAGCACTTCGGGAGGCCAAGGTGGGAAGATCACTTGAGCCCAGGAGTTCAAGACATGCCTGGGTAACACAAGAGACCCCATCTCTACAAAAAAAAAAAGATTATGAACTGTGGTCTTACAATGTACTAGATTTTTCCATCTCTTTCTCATGGGGAGAATGGTGGGGATGGTATTGAAGACGTTTAAGGTTCAGAAATTTGAGGCCAGGCACAATGGCTCATGCCTGTCATCCTGGCACTTTGGGAGGCCGAAGCGGGCAGATCACCTGAGGTCAAGACTTTGAGACCAGCCTGGCCAGCATAGCAAAACCCCGTCTCTACGAAACAATATGAGCTGGGTGTGGTGGTGCATGTCTGTAGTCCCAGCTACTTGGGAGGCTGAGGTAAGAGGATCACCTAAGCCCAGGGAGGTTGAGGCTGCAATGAGTCAAGAATACACCACTGTACTACAGCCTGGGTCTCAGAGTGAGACTCTGTCTCAAAAAAAAGCAACAACAAAACAAAACCAAGGTTCAGAAATTTGACCATGATAGTTAATCGTGCATTGTCTCTGTTGCCTCCAACTTCTGGTTGCTGCTTCTTAAAGTGATAAAGACAGAATTGAGGGAGTACTAAGTAGAAAAATCTAGTGGATACTCGATTCAGTGTAGGAGTGGCCCTAGGCCTATTTACCCTTAACAGTTTTTTCTCTCTCCTTTTTAGCTATTTCAAGAAGCCCCTGAATATCTACTTTGGATTTATTCCTGAAATAATCTTCATGACTTCTTTATTTGGCTATTTGGTTATCCTTATTTTTTATAAGTGGACGGCCTATGATGCTCATACATCTGAGAATGCACCAAGCCTTCTGATTCATTTCATAAACATGTTCCTCTTTTCCTACCCAGAGTCTGGTTATTCAATGTTGTATTCTGGACAGGTATGTCAGCACAGAGGCGGGCTGTCTGAGATGATTGTCTTTGATCAGGACAACAGATGTTTCTCTGACCCTAAAAAATTTGTAACTGCCCTTCTATGGAACAATTCTAGGGCTTTGTTACAAAATGTGCTAATTATTTTGAGAAACTGTTTAGTGTTATTCATAGATCAGTAAGAAAATACTGTTGGGGAAAATTTGTGCCAGATTTGGAAACTGGAAACTGCATATGTGATCAGTAGACTTTTATATGATGGACCTTTTCCTTCTTCTTACTCTGCAGAAAGGAATTCAGTGTTTCCTGGTAGTGGTTGCCCTACTGTGTGTACCTTGGATGCTGCTGTTTAAACCACTGGTCCTTCGCCGTCAATATTTGAGAAGGAAGCATTTGGTAAGTGTATTTCTACTGCTAAAAGTTACTAGACTTTTTATTTTTCAAGATCAAGGCAGTTCCCCAGTGGATATAATTAATTGTGCACAAATCTGTATACTCTGTTTTGTTTTTGTTTTTTTTTTTTGAGACTGAGTCTTCCTCTGTTGCCCAGCCTGGGGTACAGTGGCACGATCCTGGCTCACTGCAACCTCCGCCTCCTGGGTTCAAGCAATTCTGCTGCTTCAGCCTCCCAAGTAGCTGCCACCACCACACTCAGCTAATTTTTGTATTTTTGGTAAAGATGGGGTTTCACCATGTTGGCCAGGCTGGTATTGAACTCCTGACCTCGTGATCTGCCCACCTCCACCTCCTAAAGTGCTGGGACTATAGGCATGAGCCACCGCACCCAGCCACAAATCTGGTATACTCTTAAAATGCATTTGTGGCTGGGTGCGGTGGCTCATGCCTGTAATCCCAGCACTTAAGCACTTCAGGAGGCTGAGGTGGGTGGATCACTTGAGGCCAGAAGTTTGAAACCAGCCTGGCCAACATGGTGAAACCCCGTCTTTACTAAAAATACAAAAATTAGCCATTTATGCTGGCTTGCATCTGTAGTCCCAGCTACTTAGGAGGCTGAAGTGGAAGGATCACTTGAACCTGGGAGACAGAGGTTGCAGTCAGTTGAGAGTGTCCCACTTCACTATAGCCTGGGGGACAAGAGCAAGACTCTGCCTCAAAAACAAACAAAAAAACGTATTTGTCTTATGTCCCAGCACGAGCACTGGGCCTGCCAAGTCAGAGAAATGTATTTGCTGCTCAGATATATCGAGATTCAGCTTTGAGTAGCTGTGGTAGAGAGAAGTCACACATTTTTACCTTTCCTGGTCATGCTTTGCTCACGCTGTGCTCAGCAAAATGTAGGCCTGTCTAGATGTAGCATCAGCCAAAGCCAAGCAAGGCTGCAAGAGCTGCAGACAGGTGAACTCACTCATTTGATTTGCCTAGGCAACCCACAGGACTGACATTGAGACATTTTCTTTTCAAATGAGACTGATATTTTCATTGACCAAAACATCCGGGAAAAAGGTTTGATTTAAAGCTCGTTGATTTTTTTTAAAGCAGCATACATACATGTGTTTACTTAATGTCTGTGTGTATATGAATTATACACACACACACACACAAATTTGCCATATGTTCAGTATCATGTGTAATTTCTGGCTATCCAGGAACACTTACTTTACACTGCCTGAGAAAACCCAAATGATCTTGTTGCATGACTCTTAAACGGCTGTTAGATGATGACTCCTGTTGGAGAGCAGCTGAGTTACAAGACCCTCCTTCTCCCTTTTCTGACCATCTTCATCCTTCCATGTACCCTCCATTCGTCTCCCCCTTCACTCCCTCCCTCTTTTGTTTTCTTTCCCCTTCCTCTTTTCTTCCATTCACTATCAGGAAGGGCAACCTGTGGAGGCCCCAGTCAGCCCAACCCCGAGCCAACAGGGACTAGAGGCAGCAGCGGCTGCAACAGTGAGTGAATTAAAACCAACAAACCATCACATTTCGTTTAAAGAGGTGGCAAACAGTACAGCAGGATTCTTTTTAACTGTATTGAGAGCATGGGACATGTGTGCTCTTGGGAAATATGTCCTTGTTACTCACTGAGACAATGACAGAAAAGATTTCCACCTCTTAAGAATAGATTCTGGTATCATCTTTAGCATTGGTCTACTAAGTTTCTATTCAAATATGTAAGTACAGGCATGTCCATGGGAACAAAGTGGCTGTTGTACCCTTCTGAGTCTCGTCATCTTAATCCAAGATGGCGGCTCTTGGACTCACCCACTTTCATGTCTGTGTTTTGTGACCATGTATTGGATGGTTTTTCAGCATAGAAGGAGAATATCTCTGTGATTCTTGAATTGATTTTCCTGCACTTTTGAGTTCTACTTTAGAGCGATGCTTGAACATTTGATCTTTTTTAGTAGTAACTTACCTTCTTTTTTAAAAGTGAAAGTTTATACATGTTTACTTTTTTGTGAGAGACTCAGAAGGACCTCACATGTCCTCAGCTGTCCCAGTGAGGTCTCCACTCTCTGATGTGTTCTGTGTACTGTCATTGGGTGTCATAATCAAAGTGATCTGTCATGATCCTTCCCTCTTCTGATACTAATTCAAGATTCAGTAACAGCACTTGGAATATTTGTCCTTAAAAACATCTTTTAACCAAAATCTTATAATGCACAAATACCATAAGTTATGAATGAATCTGTAAAAGTCTCACCATTAGTGATTACTTACTACTTCTATGTGCTAGCAGCATATGCTCCTTAAAATAAAATGAAAGATTTAGATGGATTACCGTTTCCTTCATTAAGTGTTTCTGATCATTTTAAACTTGGAAAACTTCTTATGGTCATCCTTCTGAAACTAGTCTAACAGGGATGAAATTTTGGGTCAGAAAAAATTTTATTCTTGCTGCTTACAAGATATTTTTAAGTAGGGACTTCCCTATGAGAAATTTTAAAAATCTTTAGAACTCATACTACCTATTGTCAACATCTCTTTCACATACTCTTCTTTCTGCTAGTCTTAGCCTACGTAAGATGTACTTCTGAGAAGATCTTAATGCATTTGAGTCTGGTAACCTCTTGTGATAAATTCCAAGTTAAAAGCCCCCTGTCTGGAAATCTGCACATTCATAGGGTCTTCTTATCCCACTGATTCTTTAGCCAAACATTTGTTTCTGGAGAGCAGCCTGAAGGCATCAGGATGATCATTCTACAAGAAAGACTCTGGATTTTTGACCCCAGAGGGCTGAGGATATGACCAGTGATCTGGTTTTGTTCTGTTCTTTGTCCCCTTGGTTGTCTGTGAGTGAAATATCACAGTTTAATTTTTATTTTCTTTTTTCTGCTGACATGTGTCTCTCATTCCCCTTCCTGTAACTCTCATTCCTGTGTTCTGAAGGGATCCTTGTTAGTGTGTGGCTGGGAGACTTAACCTATCTGTCCCTCAGTTTATCTGCTAGTTGGAGAAAGCTTCAGAAATGGCTTTCTACTTTGGGAGCCTTGAACCTTGAAGCCTTCCTCCTGTATACCATAGCCCAGCCCAGGATATGCAGGAGTTCCCTCCTGTGCCCTTCACTGTATTTTCCATCTACCTTCGGAGGGTTGCCAGGTGGAATATGTGCATGGCCTGGAGGTGTCCAGGCTCCAGTAGCTCACAAGTCTCACTGCACATCAGAGCCACCTGGCAGACTTTGAATTTGTTTCTTAGGGTATTAAAACAAGTAAGTGGAAAAAGAAGTAAAAGTGGCCCATAATTTCATGGCCCTGACAATCCTCTACTTACATAAAAATAAATAAATCAAGCAATAGGTGCACTTGCCTAGAGAATGCATGTAGCGCTAACTAGGAAGAAAACCTCCTGCCCCCACATCCTCTCCAGGGGGCATTGTTAACATGTAGGGGGCTTCCCTCTTGACAGATACCTGCCCATCTTCTATTGATAGGTGTGTGTGCGCTCTATGCTTGTGCAGAAAGACACATGATAAATTGTGTTTTAAACTGTGGCACTTTTCTGCCTCTCTATTACATTCTTTAAAAGTTAGTGTATTTTGAAGATTGTTTCACAGCGATAATCACTCTTTTTTATAGTAGCCTAGTATTCCATAGGCTATTCCACTGGATATGCTAAAGTCATTCTCTCTTTGATGGATGTGTTGGTTGTTTCCAGTTCTTCACTGTCACAAACAACAGTGCAGAGACTATCCTGGTCCTTTTTCTTTTTTGAGACAGAGTCTCTGTCACCCAAGCTGGAGTACAGTGGCGCAATCTCAGCTCACTGCAACCTCCACCTCTGGGTTTCAGTGATTCTCCTGCCTCAGCCTCCAGAGTAGTTGGGATTACAGGTGCCCACCACCACACCTGACTAATTTTTTTTTTTTTTTGAGAAAGAGTTTCACTCTTATTGCCCAGACTGGAGTGTAGTGGTGTGATCATGGCTCACTGCAACCTCCGCTGCCCGGGTTCAAGTGGTTCTCCTGCCCTAGTCTCCCTAGTAGCTGGGACTACAGGCATCTGCCACCACGCCCAGCTAATTTTTGTATTTTTAGTAGAGTCAAGGTTTCACCATTTGGCCAGGCTGGTCTCAAACTCCTGACCATTTGATCCACCCACCTCGGCCTCCCAAAGTGCTGGGATTACAGGCGTGAACCACCCCGCCTGGCTCTAATTTTTGTATTTTTAGTAGAGACCAGGTTTTGCCATGTTGGTCGGGCTGGTCATGAACTTTTGACCTCAGGTGATTTGCCTGACTCAGCCTCCCAGAATGCTGGGATAACAAGCATAAGCCCCCACGCCCAGCCCCTTGTCCATATATCTTACCAAAGTTTTGCAAGCCTATATGTTCTAGCAGTGGGATTGCTGAATCTCAAAGTGTTCATGCATTTTAAATTTTGATAACCCCTTTACGATGATGATACAGTTTGCACTTGGGAAAATATTTTTAAAATACAGATTTATTGGGCCCCACCCCAATTTCTGGGAGTAATGTTTGAGGATTTCTATTTAAAATGCAGCTTTTGGTGTGATTCTAATGTAGCTGGTTCTATCCTAGCTATTAAATTTGTAATTTCTGGGAGTAGTATTTGAGGATTTCTATTTATTTATTTATTTCTTTTCTTTTTTTTTTTTTGAGACGGAGTTTCGCTATTGTTACCCAGACTGGAGTGCAATGGCAGGATCTCGGCTCACCCCAACCTCTGCCTCCTGGGTTCAGGCAATTCTCCTGCCTCAGCCTCCCGAGTAGCTGGGACTGTAGGCGCGCACCACCATGCCCAGCTAATTTTTATATTTTTAGTAGAGACGGGGTTTCACCTTGTTGACCAGGATGGTCTCGATCTCTTGACTTCGTGATCCACCTGCCTCGGCCTCCCAAAGTGCTGGGATTACTGGTGTGAGCCACCGCGCCCGGCGAGGATTTCTATTTAAAATGCAGCTTTTGGTGTCATTCTAATGCAGCTGGTTCTCTGACCAGTGTGTAAGAACCACTGCTAGAGGAGGAGGGAGGATTTGTACAAACATAGATCTGAGCTGGGCATTAAACTGTGACGAGAGCTGTGGCAAAAAGTGCACACCAGAAGGTGGAGCTAAGGATGAGGAGTGCAAGGCACCTTCACAGGCCCTCTGCTCACCACTCGTACTGCTGCCTGAACGCCAGGTTGCTGGAGAGCTGCCCTCGAGCTCTTGCCTTATTTGGCCCTCTGGATAGAAACCATATGAAGTGATTCTAGGGGCTGCTGTTTAAATTCTTTTTTGTGCCATGGTAGGTTAGCTCTAATTGGGATCTGTGAGACTTAACCCATTTCTCCCTGGTTTTTGTTCCCAAAGAGTCTTTTTTGCCTTAAGTTTGGAAAAACTCAAGATTTTTAAAAACAAGTTGACTTTAAAATTCTACTTTTGGAGACTCTACCAAAGACTGTACCTGTGAACTCAGAAGAAGCAAATGCCCCATCAGGATCTGCCCACATGCCTGTGGAATCATTGTTTTAACATTCCAGAGCCCTGGACTGAAGGAAAGGAGCCCCCTCCTTTTTTAAAACTCAGTACTTTCTAGCCACAAGTGAATGTACATTAAACTTTTTTTTCTTCTGTGACCTTGGAAGGTCTTTGTTCCTGGGCAGAGACATGGTATATTTCTGGAAGATGTTGCTGGAATTCTTAGACTCCTGTTAAAAACTTACCAGACTAGGGTACAGTCACCATGTCATTTGGACCCCCTTCCTCTTAGAAAGTCTAATTGTTAGTTCCAGGAAAGCTTAGGCTCTTGCAGCCTTTACAGATAGAGCTGCACTTGATATGAGAATCTGTTCGTAGCAAGGTTTTCATTAAATTGGGATTCTCAATTAGCGTTGACCCAGGTGAGGCTAGTGCCTCTTGGCATAGCAAACAGAACTGCATATTTCCTCTGAAGCAGTGTAAGGTAATTATAGGTCGGGCTGAGGCTGGGGAGGTGGTGGTTGGGGTGGAACGCTTGTCTGATTTTACTTAGCTGTTGAATCAGTGGGTTTTGTTTTTGTTCTTAGACTATATACTTTTCTAAGGTTTGTGTTACTAACCATCGCCCTTCCCACCTCACAGAATGTCATATGAAAGCCCAGGCAAATTCTGCTCTTTCTGTTCATCTGTGTAGGGAACTCTCAACTTTGGTGGGATCAGGGTGGGCAACGGACCAACAGAGGAGGATGCTGAGATTATTCAGCATGACCAGCTCTCCACCCACTCAGAGGACGCAGATGAGGTAAGATCCTGTGGTGTGGGCCTCCTCTCCTTCCACCTCGGTCAGCCCTGGTCTTATGTACCTAGGAAGCCTCACTCTAGTCTTCTCCTTGAAAAATAAAAATACTAATTAATACCCAGCCTGCCTTCTGGACCTCTTAGGGCACCACAGCTTTTTACAGTGGGCCCTGCCCTAAGCTCCAGCTGTTGCCCCCAGAGCCTGCAGTAGTTTTGCTCCTGTCTTGAATTCCAGGTTTTTCCTGCAGTGCTCTGTATGCAGGTCTCCATTACTGACTGCTTTCTCGCCTGAGGCGGAGCAGGCCTCAGCATCCCAGCTCTTATGACCTGAAACACAGGTCACTTTGCACAGCTTCTTCATCTGTTGACCCTTCCAAGGATCATTCCAGTACATTACTGACCAGCTGTAATCACTGGTACTTTTGAAGTCCTAGCCCACTGATGTGTTCTTGCTGCAGATACTTTGTTTGAGCCTTTTTGGTGTCATTTACCTACCTTTCACAGGGAGAGAGAGAATTAGGCCAAGCTAGACTTTTTCGTAAGATACCACCTCCAAGCCTACTCTCCTTGCCTGACCCCTTGTAGTACAAAGCCTCTGCACTCAACTATTAAAGCTCATCTACTCATTATGTTCTTTTTAAAGCAAGTAGAATAGGAGTTGAGGACCCAAGTTGGACTTTTCAGTCTGTCTGACCACTTTCACTCTATATGATTTTTTAAAAAAGAAATCACAAGGGTTAGGGATGCCTTTAAAAAATGTGTATCTTGGGCCGGGCGTGGTGGCTCATGCCTGTAATCCAAGCACTTTAGAGGCCAAGGCGGACGGATCACCTGAGGTCGGGAGTTCAAGACCAGCCTGACCAACATGGTGAAACCCCGTCTTAAGAAATATATATATATATGCATCTTGGGCCGGGCGCAGTGGCTCATGCCTGTAATCCCAACACTTTGGGAGACCAGGGCGGGCAGATCATGAGGTCAGGAGAGTTCAAGACCAGACTGGCCAACATCTCCCATCTCTACTAAAAAATAGAAAAATTAGCTGGGCATGGTGGTTCATGCCTGTAATCTCAGCTACTTGGGAGGCTGATGTAGGAGAATTGCTTGAACCTGGACTCTGGAGGCAGAGGTTGCAATGAGCCGAGATCGTGCCATTGCACTCCAGCCTGGGCTACAGAGTGAGACTTCATTTCAAAACAACAACAACAACAAAACATATTTTAATGCTCTAAATTCCTGCTGATTTCACTTTGTGTGTATGCTGAAGAGGCCTGCCTCGAATATGCTAGCCCACTTAACATGAACAGTCCTCCCCAAGAAGCATTCAGTAGCCTTGTGCTTCTAACTTGTGACCTTGTGTGTGGCGTGGCTCCCCACTAAGTGTAAATTTGTGTTTTCAAGCCTACCGAGGACGAAGTGGTAAGATGAAAGCTGGCATTGCCTTCGTGTTTATCTGGGCTTCTCTCTTCCCATCCTTGTGATCACTCTGCTGACCCTGCCTCACCCTGGAGCCACACACGTGACTCCTGTGCATCCTGCATCTCACTAGCCATTTCTAACCAGTTCATGAACGTCTGTTCTAAAAAGCTCATCTCCATTAATTGCATCTCATGTCGGTCACCTCTGTCTTTGTTTCATTGACTTTGCTGATCTAATACCTCTGAGAATGGCTTTGAAAGGAGCTACAAGTAATGTCTGCCCTGGCATTCTTGAAGTGACTCCTCTTGGGGGTTAAGGCCCCTTGGCCTCTGCCTTCCTCTCCTGTGATGTTGTGGTTGCTCTCCCAACCACCGGGAGTAGCCATTTCCTCCCTGCTCCTCCGAGTGCTTATGAGCAAAGCTTACCGTTTCTCCCTGTCTGAGATGCAGCCAGCCTCTTCCTGCTGCCCTCCTCAGCTTGATGTTGCTTCACCTTAGGAGCGTTGGACCTTTCTCTGGGTCAGCTCTACCTCCACGTGACCCAGGTGAGAGGGAGACAGTTTTCAAAAGGAGGCTTTGCCTTCCAGATGCATCCCAAAGGAAATAAACCATCTGTGTGAAAGGAGTTCCTATTACATCAGCCACACATAGAGAATAAGGGAGACTGGAAAGCAAGATGGCTAAAGGTTCAGGCCACATCTCTGGCTCAGCAGTAATTCACTTAGCAACACACACTTTTTAAACTGGGTTTTTTAAAGGCCTTGCTGCACTGTTTGCATCTTCCCCCAACACTTCTCTATAAAATGCCTAGACCCAAGAACTATACCTTTCCCTTCCTGACTTTCTGGCCCTCTCTAGTGGGGCAGTGGGATGGGAATGAGAAAGACTTTGCTGTTCTGTGTAAGCACAGGCAGGGTCTGGTCTCCCTGAAGTCTGGAGAGGCTCCTTTGCTGGCATCAAGGAGTGTCTGTGTTCCTGGACTGCTCATCTGTGCAGTCCCTGGCTGAGCTACCTGGCGGGATGGGTGGGGTGTGCTCCATGTTAGTGAGGAGCCCAACCTTCTCCTAGGCTCACTACCTTCAACAGCAGCCGAGCACCCGCATTGTCAGGATGATGTGACCAACTGTTGTATACCAATGTTCTCATTTGTAGCCATGTCCCAGGAGGTTGGACATCTAACAACATAGACTAATTCAGCCTCTGCAGTTTCTGGCCACCCAGCTCACTCGGATTCAGCTACCCTTGGCTACCCAAGTAGTCTAAATATTGTATCTTTATCAGGCACATAAACAGTCTCGTTCTCTACAGCCAAATTTATATACCCGTGACAGTTATCTAACAATTTTAAACAAAACAGGTTCCTAGAAAAAAGTTCAGCCTACTTGTAGAACTTCCCCATTTTGCTTGGCTGTGAAATGTATTTGTCCCATGCAGGCCCTTGCTCCAGCCCAGTGGCAGCATTAGCACCTCTCCCTAGCGGAGACTCAGTCCAGCTGTAAACCAGAGCCAGGCCAGCTGGTTGTCTGGGAAATAGGACCACTCAGCAAGTCAGCAAGGGTCAGTGGCACCTCTCCCCACTGTCTGCTCAGGAGGTACATTCATACCACCCATCTATACACTCATTCACCCTCTATGTGTCCAGCACTTTGTACAGTGCTGCAGAAACAGAGAAGAAAAACGTAGTTCTTGCCTTCAAGGACTGCCCAAATTGCAGAGACAGTCTGAGTGACAGGTACTGTGATAGAAGTGTGCCCCAGATGCTAGAGGAGTACAGAAGGAGGGCAGCTGACCAACACTGGGGTGAGGTGGAACAAGAGCCCCTGGAAGTATTCCCTAAGGAAGTTACTCTGGTCAAGCAGGAGGCCCTGTAGGAGGAGTACAGACCCACCAGCATATGCAGCTTCACAAAGGCAAAAGACCTGCAGGCCCATCATGTGTGGGAAACTAGCAAGTATTCAGCTTGGCTGGAGCAGAGGCAGGAATGGGGAATTGGGGACAGGTGAGACTGGAAGTTGGCAGAAACCAGCTGTGGTAGTTTTTGCCTCATTTGGATAGCAAGGAGCCATCCGAGAGAGGGCAGTGAAGCTGGTGGTGACACAGCCCCGGTGTGTTGAGGAAATACTCCCAGTGACCATGTTGTAGGGTATAATGGGTTGGAGAGGGGCACAGTCAGGAGGCGCAGACTCCACCTCATCTGATGTGATTCAGGACAGAATAGGGAGCCTGAAGTGAATTAAGGTTGAGTTGGAAAAGAAGGAACCAATGTGAAATAGTAAAGAAGTACAAGATATAGGTCCCAGTGCCTTAATAAAGGTAAGGAGTAAGAGAAGGGTTGAGATTGACTGCCAGAGGATAGCAGTTACTTTGTTGAGCATGGAGAGCCTGTGGTTCTCCAGGAGAAGGAGTATAGCTTGCTGGATGTAGGCAAGGCAGAGATGGAGAGATTGGAGTCACTTCTAGGGGTGGCCCTTGAAGCCCTGAATGGCAGTCCCACAAGAAAGGTGCAAGGGTTGAAGCTGAAACTCCAGAGAACATCCGTGTTTAAGGAAGAACCTTGGCTGGGTGCAGTGGCTCATGCCTGTAATCCCAGCACTTTGGGAGGCCAAGGCGGGCGGATCGCTTGAGCCCAGTAGTTTGAGACCAGCTGGGCCAACATAGTGAAACCCGTCTCTACTAAAAATACAAAAATTAGCCAGGCGGTAGTGGCACATGTCTGTAATCCTAGCTACTTGGGAGGCTGAGGGAGAAGAATCGCTTAATTCTCCTGGGAGGCAGAGATTGCGGTGAGCTGAGATTGTGCGACTGCCCTGCAGTCTGGGTGACAGAGTGAGACCCTGTCTCAAAAAAGAAAAAAAAAAAGAAGAACCTTGATGGAGACTAAAAAGAACTGTCCAGAGAGGTAGGAGGAAAACCAAGGGGAAGCAGGTGTTACAAGGAGGAGGAAGTGGCCAGGTGTGGTAGCTCATGTCTATAATCCCAGCACTTTGGGAGGCCGAGGTGGGTGGATCACCTGAGGTCAGGAGTTCAAGGCTAGCCTGGCTAAACATAGAGAAATCCTATCTCTACTAAAAATACAAAAATTAGCTGGGCATAGTGGCATGTGCCTGTAGTCCCAATTACTTGGAAGGCTGAGGCAGGAGAATCACTTAAACCCAAGAGGTGGAGGTTGCGGTGAGCCAGGTTAGCACCACTGCACTCCATCCTGGGTGACAGAGTAAGACTCTGCCTAAAAAAAAAAAAAAAAGAGGCCGTAGTGACAGACACTGAAAGGGCACAAACAAGGACACAGAACATCTGTTAGGTGTAACAACTGGGAGGTCAGGGTGACCTTGCTAAGTAGAGCCATTTTGTGGAGGAGTGAAGGTGCAGTAGGGTAAGGACTGGCTGGGAAGGGAGGAAACTGAGGCAGAGGATGTGGACAGGGACCCTGCAGCAATTCATGGTCAGTCATAGCTGATTTATACTGGTCATATGCTGAGTGGCAGACTCACACGTGCTAGGCTGGATTTCTTATGCAATCCTTGCCTCTCCTAAGAACACCTGCAGGAAGCTGGGAATGAAGGATAGAAGGCCAGGGTAAGGCCTGGAAGCGAGGCTTCTCGCCTGTCCTGTACTTTTTTCCATGGGAGAAACTTGAGATGGAATGAAAACACTGAAAGGGATTGGCCTAAGGGAGTCCCGTGGTCACTGCCTCTAGCACATAGGACTAGAGATCAGCACTCCTGGGAGCCATGGACTTCTTCCTCTCAATGTGGGCTCTCAGGTGGCAGCCAGCAGTGGTAGTAAAGAGCTCTTTTTTTTTGTTGTTTGTTTGTTAGTTTTTTGAGACAGAGTTTCGCTCTCGTTACCCAGGCTGGAGTGCAATGGCGTGATCTCAGCTCACCGCAACCTCTGCCTCCTGGGTTCAGGCAATTCTCCTGCCTCAGCCTCCCGAGTAGCTGGGATTTACAGGCACGCGTCACCATGCCCAACTAATTTTTGTATTTTTAGTAGAGACAGGGTTTCACCATGTTGACCAGGATGGTCTCGATCTCTTGATCTTGTGATCCACCCGCCTCGGCCTTCCAAAGTGCTGGGATTACAGGCTTGAGCCACTGTGCCCGGCAGGAAAGAGCTCTTAACCACAGTATGGGGATTTAGGGAACTTGGGGAACCAGGATTACCCTAGTTTTCAGGGTAAGGAAGCTTGAAGAGCCTGTTCCAGAAGAAAAGCCCAGAAATAGGCTAGGTGTCCGAAGAAGTGAGGGAAAGCAGATGTTTGCCCAGAGATGGCATGGTGGAGCCAGCTCCCTCCCCGATGGCTGCACCCCTGTGGCCTGAGCCCTTGTGGCTTTACCAGCTGAGCCACTTTCTCCTGTCCCCATGTTCTCGTGATTTCCCAAGGCATTTCTGGTGTCCTTTTGGAGTGGAATCCCGTGGGTTTTGAAAGGAACTTCGGTGAAAAATAGACCCTGACCTGAGGGCACAGGGTGATGGGGAGGCCGCTGAGCCTGTAGGAGTGTCTGAACGCTCAGAGGATTCTGGTCTGGGCTCTGTGGGGAGCCCCGTAAGGAAGTGCCTCCTGGTCTTTGGTCAGCCTGACAATGTGAGAGGCCCAGGGAAAGTACCTGGGGCTTCCAGAATATACCAAATTCAGAAGCCCACGTTCACCCCTGACTGTGCTTGGAGCAGTCCTAAAAGTATACTCCCTAGAGCTTGTTCCAGCCCATTCCTTTATTCTGAAAATAATTCTTGGTATTGAAAACTGGGAGAAAGGGAGCTTGACGAAAACAAAAACAAGAAACTGGCGATGTGCTGTCTGCCCTTAACCCATGTGGAAATCCATAAACTTTGTCAGGATTTCCCTGTGCGTGGTGGTGAAATCATGTAGGGGAAAAATGTTCGCCATGTAATCTCTTTAGAAGTCACGAAAGAAAAAGGAGGTTATTTTGCTCCCAAAAGGCTGTAGAAAGAGTAAGTACAGTGGCTGTAGAGGCCCAGTCTTCTCAGGGCAGTGCCCAGGTTGAGAGCCATCTCCTGAAGCACAGTCTGGGGAAAGTCTCTTCCTGCCCTCCATCGCTTATTCTGAGCAGGGATGCTTTCCTCAATAGCCTAGAAGGTGAGAATCAGCTAGGCCAGGCTTCCGCAGGTCCTTAGGGTCCCAGATGCAGTCACTTTCCCAAATGGAGTGCTGTCAACTCAGCACACACTCCCCTCTGGAGCACAGAGCCCAAGAAGGAGAAAAACAAATGTGTTGAAGAGAATCTTACTAAGATGTAGTTCTTAAAATGTAGTGTATTGAGGGGAATGGAGGTGTCCCAGGTGAGGGCTAAGCCAGCCAGGATTTCTGGGGAAGGTGTTAGCGAAATCACCACCTGAGCTTCACGGGGTGCTTCTGGCCCCTCCAAAGTTGAGGTGCCAACCATGGGAAGTGCAGTCCCCTGCCCTGGCCCAGGTTCAAGGTGCCAAGTAGCTACAACTTAGAATGCCTGCACGTTCCCCTCCTAGCCTTATATCTTCTTTGGTTTCCTCCCATGACAGTTTGACTTTGGGGACACCATGGTCCACCAGGCCATCCATACCATCGAGTACTGCCTGGGCTGCATCTCCAACACCGCCTCCTACCTGCGGCTCTGGGCCCTCAGCCTCGCTCACGCGCGTGAGTACCCCCTCCAGGCTCCAGAACTCGTTTCCCCTCTGTGGGTGCGCTCTCAGCTTGGGGGCTAAAGTAGAATGGAAATTACACAAAGGTTCTGGAATTATTCAGGTTCCTGAACCCAAGGAGAATGAGTACAGATAGGAGGCTCGGCACTTGTGCCAGGTTAGCTCTGCACAGGGTTCCCACTAAGGTAGTGGGAGGCCAGCATCCGGGGAACCCTAGAGGGGGGATGGCAGAGCAAAGTTCATGACCCCTAGCTGCCTCTTGCCAAACCACACTGGATTTTGTGTCTCTCATTCCCCAGAGCTGTCTGAGGTGCTCTGGACCATGGTGATCCACATCGGCCTGAGCGTGAAGAGCTTGGCGGGAGGTTTGGCGCTGTTCTTCATCTTCGCCGCCTTTGCCACCCTGACTGTGGCCATCCTCCTGATCATGGAGGGCCTCTCGGCCTTTCTCCATGCACTGCGCTTACACTGGTGAGAGGCAGTGAGGCAGGGCGGGCATGGGGGTTGATGTGTCTTTAGCTGTGGCGAGAGGGCAGCTTTTCTCCCACACAGCTGTGCAGCTCTGTGCAAGAACATGAGCTGGCCGGTACTAGCTTTACCCCAGGACACCCCAGCACCAGCTTTGCCACTGAGTTTCAGAAAATGGCCATAGTAAAGCACAGCTCAGCCTTTACTAGACTCTAGGGAGAGGTTGCTGGTAAGTGGTGCCAGGTCCCGCTCCCTGCCTTTTGCTGTCCCTACTGCTCCTGACTTTGGCTTAGAAGCGCTGCTGGGGTCTTAGAGTTTCTGGTTTTCTCTCTGGGCACATAACTCTCCTGTCTTTAGAACAGTGGAAGCAGCTCTGAAATGGATGTTAAGTGCAGGAAAGACTAGAGCACCCTGCACCCCAGCTTTGTCCTCCATGTTCTGTCATTGTGCCAGGCATCATTGAGTTGGACCCTTGGCAGCTCCATTGTGGGCCAGGGGGATTCCTGGCTCCATAGGATGGAGGGCAGTACATGCATGCAGTTTCTTCAGAAGGGCAGGTTTGGGGTGGTTCTGTCTGTTTTCTTTAACGGAGCTGTGACTCTTAATGACTGTGTGTGGAGAGATCATGAGTTCAGCCTCTGGGACTGGGAGAGCAGGGGTGTGGTTGAGGCTATGACCACCTCAAATCAGGGTTGCCATATTTAGTACATAAAAATACAGTGTGGCCGGGTGTGGTGGCTCACACCTGTAATCCTAGCACTTTGGGAGGCTGAGGCAGGTGAATCATCTGAGGTCAGGAATTCAAGACCAGCCTCGCCAATGTGGTGAAACCCTGTCTCTACTAAAAATACAAAAATTAGCCGGGTGTGATGGCACCTACCTGTAATCCCAGCTACTCCGGAAACTGAGGCAGGAGAATCACTTGAACCCTGGAGGTAGAAGTTGCAGTGAGCTGAGATTGTGCCACTGCACTCCAGCCTGGGCAACAGAGCAAGTCTTTTGTCTCAAAAAAAAATACAGTGTGTATTTCACATAAACAAATAATTTTTTTAGTATGAGTATTTTCCAAATGTGCATGGGATATGCTTATACTAAAAACTGGGGCAGCCTGTATTTTCTGTGGCTGTTCTACCTCAGACTCCACTTCTTTGGGTCTCTATTTCCTTCTTCATGTTGTGATTCTGTTTTTTGGGGTCTCAAACCCCTGTCTGGAAGTTCTGGCCCCTCTCCCCAGAGAAGCACTCACACACCCCTCCTGTTTTACAAGCATAGGGGTCTAATTCACTGGCGCTGCCTCAGAGGCCCCTTGAGATGCTCTGTGGTATTCATGATCTCAAGGCCAGAAGAGGACTATGAATGTCTCTCTTCATTCTCCAAACCTGAAGAAAATCCAGCATCTGGAACCTGAGAAACTCCTTCCCCACTACCCCTTAATCTTTGATTTTTCTTATGGCTGGGTGACCCCTGAGCCTCCTCAAAGATTCAGCTGTGGTTTTTTCTGAATGATGGGCGGAGAGCAAGGCCTGGAAGAGCAAGACGTGGCTGGGATGTACTCCTCTTCAAAAGCCCTGCTGCGTCAATAGATGTGGTTTCCCCGGCCTGGCTCTCTCCCTCCTGGCCTCCCTCCTCCCTGCCCAGCTCATCTGGCTGGCCCCCATGTTCTCAGCTTATCAGCTTACCCCACCAAACACCCTTCCTCAGCCCTCCTTGGTGCACAGGAACCTCTGAGGAAGGAGCCTGCAGGGACTCACTTTTGATTGCCCTTTGGCCTCCTTCCTTTTCTTTTCACTCCTGTCCTTTGAGCCCTGGGTTTGAGGGAACAGTGACCACCTCACCTTGATTCCAGCCCCTGGGGGTAGCCAGTCACCTACTCCCTGGGCAGGGCGGGAGCAAGGCACTGTTGCAGAGCAAGGTCGCCTGGGCTGGAGCCTCGTTTTGTTGCCAGAGGGTTGCTTCCTCCTCACACTCACTTGTGGCCTCCCCATGTCTTCCCATGTCCTCCTGAACAGGCCTGAGGAAGTGATGAGTGGCAGGAGAGTAGGACTCTGAATCAGGTGACCTGGGTTGGAATTCCAGCTCTGTCATGCCAGGCAGGAGACCTTGGCAGAGCACTCACTGACAAGGTGACCTTGAGCACGTAGGAAGTAATACACCAAGTGCTGCCACAGCAAAAGCAGGTGCTCCAGGGTGGGTCGTGGCTGCTCTACTTAAAAGTGAGATGCCCTTGCCAAGTGTGGTGGCTCACACCTGTAATCCCAGCATTTTGGGAGGCTGAGGCAGGTGGATCACCTGAGGTCAGGAGTTCAAGACCAGCCTGGCCAACATGGTGAAACCCCATCTCTACTAAAAATGCAAATGTTAACTAGGTGTGGTGGCACGTGCCTGTAATCTCAGCTACTCAGGAGGCTGAAGCAGGAGAATTGATTTAGCCCAGGAGATGGAGGTTGCCGTGAGCTGAGATTGCACCACTGTACTCCAGCCTGAAAGAGCGAGACTCCATCTCAAAAAAAAAAAAAAAAAAAAAAAAAAGAGGTGGGGGATGCCCTAGAGAGAGGGTATCTGCCTGGGGTCCTCCATAGAGAAACTGCTTTTAGCCTATCTAGAGTGAGAGGAGACCCCAAAAGGAGGCAGAGGATACCATCAGAATGCCCTCAGTTGCTGTTTGCAAGGAACAGGCTTGTCATATATGTCGTACTTGTAGTTGTTTATTTTGTTTTATTTTTGGTAATAGGTGTACTGGGCAGGAGAGGAAAAAGCAGTGCAGACCTCCTTTATGCAAATTCCAGAATCCTGTCTTTCGAGGGCTGTCCCTGTGACACAAATGGGATGCCTCCCCAACCACTAAAACAGGAGTGAATTAAATTAGTGCCTGTGCGCCCCCTCCTGGCAAAATGTGGCAGTGTGTCCAGGATGCCTGGATCTTCCCAGTGGCCCTCTTAACAGGGGTGGAGCCTCTGGGCCTGCTTACCTGGCTGCAGGGATGGTGCTACCATTCTTCCTGGCATCCGGCCTAGGCATCTTCATAGCTCCCACTCTATCCCTGCTGTTTCCAGACTTAAGGGCTGCTCCATTATACAAGTTCTGTGTCTCTTCAGTGAGGACAATAAGAAAAACATTTGATTTGATAACATATAAACCACTAGTTTGAGATTCATGCAGTGTCATAGGAAGCAGGGGTGATGTTTGGAAACAATGAGCAGGTTAATGTATTGATCTGCTGATTCTGTCTCCTGAGTTTTCGCTCTCTTACTCCCTCATAAAAATGTAAGCTTGGCTTCCTACCTACCATAATTAGACTCTTTTCTTCCTCAGAGAAGGCATGAGACAGGGATTTAATTGTAGTTATCACTGTAAACATCAAACTGATTTTTATGCAGAACTGTTGCCCCCAGGGCCTACCTTCCAAGGAATCTGGTCTCTCCTTACATAGTGGATTCCACATACACGTAGATGTACACCCACCTGTACCCACACAGATTGGTGATTAAGGGGACAGAATCAGGGACCACTTTCTTGTTAGGAATGCAGTGTTGCCGAGGCATGACAGCACGGAGGAGTTGAGGGAAGTCTTGAAATTTAGTTCCAGGCTGCCGTCATTGTCCTCATACTCGGGCCATCACACAAATGTGTGTTCTGGGCCCTGAACTGCACAGAGAGTGGCAGAACAGGCTAGAGAACAGCTCAGCCCAGAATTGTCTTTCCAGACTGCCTGCCCTCAGTCACAACCCCCACCAGGAAAGGGAAGTGGCCCCAGGACTCCTTCCTCCTTCACCCACTCGAGGAAACAAGGGTTCCTGTTACGTGGCAGGAATGATGTCTTCTGGCCCCAGTTAATCCCTCTGAGTCACCAGGTGCCCTTTGCCAAGTGCTGGAGCTGGAAGGGATGATAGAAACACCCATCTGGCTTCCTGAGGCCCTCCTCACAGCTGTTGAATTGTAGAGGTGCATTTCAGTGGCTTTGGGCGTGGGGAGACCTTGGAGGCTCCTTGAGCAGAGCAGTGGAGAGGCCCATCAAGGAAGAACTTAGGATGGCAGGTGGGGCCCTCCTTGCCCCAGGGAACTTCATGTTTGTACTTTCTCAGGAAGTACACATTTCCCTGGCTCAGGGGGAGAGGGTGGGGAGATGGGCGGGGAAATTGCTTTCCAGCTTTGTGCTGGGTGGTTGGGGTGAGGGTGACCAGGAAAGGAGGTGAAGTCAGGCTGACACCAAGACAGACCCAAGATGTCCCAGTTCTGGCCACCCTAAGTCTCTAAAGCAGCAGCTGGTGGAGGGGCAGTATTGGGCAGTGTGTCAGGGGGGCCACCTTTCTGCTCATACAGTACGATGTGCCCCTCCCAGGCATATATCATTCTTCCTTGTTGCTGGGCCCCATGGGTAGATAAGGTTGACTGGAGGGGTGCTAAGAAAAGGGCAGTGCCCCCATAGGCATCTGAAAACAAAGCCGCTGCTCCATTTGCCCAGTTTGGAGATTAGCAAGGTTTTGTGATTAGCCAGGCAGGAGGTCAGAATTCTGGACACCTCACTGATTTGGGGGTCAGCCTACCCTCCCAAAGCTGACATTCACTCCTAGATCATGGCCTGGGACCCTCAGGTGACTGGTCCACTCTCTGGCTATGTATTGTTGAATGAAAAGGGGACATGTAAATCTCTTTTCAGCTGTTCTGAAATAACCATTGCCATATGGGAACACAGTCTACTCAACATGAAGAATTCAAACCTAACAGAAGTGGTGAGAAGCAGGAACCTACTGCTAGGAACCCACTGCATTCCCTCACAAGTGGTCTCAGTAGCTGGAACTTGGAGAAGTACTTTTGGTGGGGTGTTAGGATGTGGGTGGATCCGGGTCCTGGCTTGGAATTGCCCCTGCAAGAACCCTGGGCTAACGTCAGTTGGAAGCTCTGTGGCCTCCCCCTCCTGAGTTCTGTTTTCCCTGGAGGACCTTGGCCCACCCCTGTGGAATGTGGGGTTGATGGGGCAGAAAGCCTCCTTCTCTTACTCCTACTTAGAAAATTCTGTTGTGCTCTTCTCCAAGGGGGTGTAGCTGGCAGCTCTGCCACTCAGTCCTCAGCCTGCACCCCAGTGAAGGGGCCTCTGAGGCACTCCCAGCGCCACTGGCAAGCAGCCCTGCAGCCTTTGGGCCCCAGCCACCTCCCAGCCCCTGTTCTCTAATTCCAGCCTTTTTGGTGTGGAGAGAGGAAGCCCCATTTGAAGGCTGAAGGCTAATGGCTAAGTGAGGCAACTAGAAGGTTCCTGAAGCTTTAAAGCTCCTGGAAGCCCTCACCCTGCATGTGACCCGTCACCTTGGGGGAGCCTGCCCCAGCACCCACTCCTGCCTGTTCCTACAGGGGCCCAGTGCTTCCAGGGTCACACAGCACCATGTGGAAACTATTCCTCAGGGCAGCTCTCCTTGGCCTTTTTATCCTCTGAATCATGCATTTTTCTGCCCTTATTTGGTGTGGTTTGGTTGCTGGGCAGCTGTCCAGGGTGAGTTTGCAGGAGGAAACACAGCAAGGCAGCCTCGCTCTGCTTATGTGACAGCCTTCCTCCCGCCCTCTGAGTGCAAAAGAGCCCCATAGAGACCATCAGGCATGGATATTGACCTGCTGGGAAGGGAGTTCAGGCTTTTTCTTCTTAGTCCCCAAGAGAATCCTTTCTCAGATGTTTTTGTGGTTGGAGAATATTTTTGCCATTGCTTTGAGAAGACTTCCCCTCCTAACTCCCCCTCTTTCCTGGGAATTTCCTTCCTAAAATGGAAATCCTTAAACGCTCACTCCAAACTCGCCCTTCTAGCTGCCCCCCAGGAAAAATAACAAGCAAACAGACGTGCTTGCCCAGGGCCCCTGGAGGGGTTTCCCTTAGAGGTGGGCTGTGTTAGCTCCCACCAGGAGGGGGCGTTGGGGCCACTTCTTCATTAACAATGTTAGGCTCAAGCTAACTGAACTTCCGCACGTGCGTCTCTACAGAGAGTTGTGTATGAACACACTGCCTGGCAGGACAGAGCGAGATTGGAAACTGAGGGCAAATCCCTTCCTCTGTACGTCAAACTCTTGCTGAGGCGAGTCCCAGGCCTTAAAAGGGGGAGCTCTGGGGGCCGGGCGCAGTGGCTCACGCCTATAATCCCAGCACTTTGGGAGGCCGAGGCGGGTGGATCGCGAGGTCAAGAGATCAAGACCATCCTGGTCAACATGGTGAAACCCCGTCTCTACTAAAAACGCAAAAATTAGTTGGGCATGGTGGTGCGCACCTGTAGTCCCAGCTACTCGGGAGGCTGAGGCAGGAGAATTGCTTGAACCCAGGAGGCGGAGGTTGCGGTGAGCCAAGATCACGCCATTGTACTCCAGCCTGGGTAACAACAGCGAAACTCCGTCTCAGAAAAAGAAAAAGGAGGGGGTTAGCTATGGGCTGGGCGTGGTGGCTCACACCTGTAATCCAAGTACTTTGGAGGCCAACGCGGGTGGATCACCTGAGGTCGGGAGTTCAAGACCAGCCTGATCAACATGGTAAAACACCTCGTCTTTTTTAAAAAATAAAAATAAATAAAATAATTAAAATAAAAGGGGGAGCTCTGTAGTTTGGGCTTTATCCAGCTCCCCCAGGGAAAGGAGGCATGGGGTGAGGTGGGCACAGGGCATCTTTCTGGCCCAACTGTGAAGTCCCAAAAAGTTTCACAAGGTTCCTATTGAATGACAACTTTCTTTGTCTCTTTCTCCAGGGTTGAGTTCCAGAATAAATTCTACAGTGGGACCGGTTTCAAGTTCCTACCCTTCTCCTTCGAGCATATTCGGGAAGGGAAGTTTGAAGAGTGAGCCCCTGTGAGGGCCATGTGCCCCACACTGCCCACCCTGCCTCCCCCCACAGTGAGCTCCTCTGCCCGTTGCTTGTGATCCGCAGGCACCAGGACATTGGTATCACCCCATCTGTGAGTCATTTAGATAGAGGAGTCCTCCCTGGGTCTCCAGCACCCCCAGATTTGTGTGTAGTGCAGCGGTTTGCTGGCTGTCACTCGTACCCACTGGGCACCAGCCTTGCCCTCTTAGCTTCCACCCAGCCAGAGAGCCCCTCCCGCCTCCTGGTGGTGAGTGTCTGTGCATTCCCATGCAATCCTGAAGCCCTTTCATCTGAGTATGTGGATGGAAACAGCACCCATGCCATTCACATCTAGACTTTGAGTTCCCTGCACCTGCAACAGTAGTTTCTAGCAGGAGTAGTGCAGGGAGCAATACAGGTTCTCCCCTAGAAGGGGACACTGGTAACACATCCCTCTCGTGGGTTAGCAGGGGTGGGTCCAGGAAGATGATATTTATGTCCTTTGCCCAACCCGCTCTAGTGCTTGTTTATCAGGCATTCAGCTGGACCCAAATGGGCCATCAAGAGTGGCTTCTTCCTGTCATCCCCAGGTCCACACCATCTTCCTGACCCCACCCTGCACTCCCACCCTCTCCTCTCTGCTGCAGTATATGGCACAGCCAGGAGTGCCTGGAGCAGAGGCTGTCTGCTTTGCAGTGCACAGGGCTTCCCTCCCCCGGGCTGGCTTCTTCCCAGGCCTTGCAGGGTCCCTGCCCACAGGCACAGCCTTGAGCAGAGGGTGCAGGCTCTTCCTGGTGGAGAACCTGAGACCTTCCCCACCCCCAATCATCATGTCTCCAGTATGGGACTGGGGTCCTCTCAGTTCTGCCTGCAGTCTGCCTGCCTCTGTGTCCCAGTGTCCCTCCTCACCTCCACACTGGCCCCAGGTCTCAGGAGGGGTGTCCTGGGCAGGGAAGGTTAGTGTCACTGATGGTTAGCTGATTGGAAGCCATTGGCAGGGCTGCCGTGCATGTGGCTGTGAGGGCTGCAGAGCCCAGCCGAGGGGCCTCCTCCCTGTCACCCCAAACCTTCTAATCATGCGCTGGCATGGCAGCCCTGGCTGCCCTGGCTAAGTTAATCCCCACCGCTTTCAGTGGTAGAAAGAATTCCCTGAGTGGGCCCAGCCAGTGCCCTCCTCCCACCCTGGCTTTTCTGAGTGTGCTACCTGGAGTCCTGGCCTCTCTCCCAGGCTTGGCTGCCCCAGCTTCACTGAATGCTGGCCCACCATGACCTGGCCTGACCTTGTGCCGCCCCCTACCCTCGTATTATCCCGGGTTTTCATGGTGATCTTTACTCTGTTTCAAGTGGGGTTTGAAGCAGAGTTCAGGGAACTCTGCCCAAAGCCCTCCTATTGAGACATTTCCTGTGTTGAATAAAATGTGTTTGACTCCCCCAGAGAGGCTGCCTGTCGCTGTGCCCATAGCCCCTGTGTTCCAGGCTCAGCCATCTTGAGCCCATCTGGACCCCTAACCTTCATTGTTAGGGGTCCTCCCTCCTCCAGCATTGTAGCTTTTCCTTCTGTCAAAGGCCATAGCTGCCTGTGTTGGCAATTAGTTTGGGAAATTCTCACCTTGATCCAAGTTTCCTACTTTCAGGAGCCGAGGCAGTTCTGCAAACACTACCTGTGGGAGGAGGGGACTGGGTGGCCCATGTTCATCTGCCCTTCACTCACTGCACATCCAGACAGCATGGGGGCAGGGGCCATTGGATATCTCCCCACACTTCTTCCTCTTCTCCAAGTGTGCCCTCCAGGGCCCAGTGGCCTGGCTATTTTGAGTCTTGACACCCCTGGCCTTAGTGTAAGTGGAGTCTCCACATGGGTTCCTCTGGGCAGCTGCAGAGTGTGGGGTGCTGGAATTGGTAGGCAGCAGGTGAAGAGCTGGCAGACCATCCAGGACAGCAGGCTGGGCAGGAGGCCCCTCCCCCTCATACTGCCTAGTGAAACACTGCATTTTCCATGCCCTCCCTCTTCACTCCTCCCTCCAGGGGCCTCAGGGCAGGGGCCCTGACCTGGGCAGGCTGACTACCACTGCCCCCTGTTCATTCCATGTTCCAGCCTAGCCTAAAGCCCTCCCTCCTCCCTAACAGTGCTACCTGTCCCTGGAGTCAGCCCTGAGGTGCCCACCCTACCCAGCTCCTCAAAGATAAGGTATCGAGTAGAAACTCTGGTCAATGAGCTCTCAGTTTCTGCTTGGTGGGAAGGGAAGGCCTCATAAGAATAGATATTTAGGATCAGTGGATTCTAATTGAGAGTCCAGGAATAAATTCTAACATTTATGGTCACTTGATTTTTGACAAAGGGATCAAGATGATTCAATGAGGAAAGAGCTCTCTTTTTCAACAAATGACACTGGTACAATGGGGTTTCCACATGTAGAGGAACGAATTTGGGCCACTACCCCCACCATATGCAAAAATTAACTCAAAGTGGATTCTAGACCTAAAATGTAAGCAAAAACTATAAAACTCCTAGGGGGAACCATAGGAGTACATCTTCCTAGTCCTGAGTTAGCGAATGATTTCTAGATGTGACACCCAAAGCACAAGCGATGCTGAAACATAGGTTTCAGCAAAATGAAAAGCTGTTGTGCTTCGCCAGGCACAGTGGCTCACACCTATAATCCTAGCACTGTGGGAGGCTGAGGCAGGGGGATTACCTGAGGTCAGGAGTTCAAGACCAGCCTAGCGAACATGGTGAAACCCCATCTCTACTAAAAAAAATTAACAAGGTGTGGTGGCAGGCATCTGTAGTCCCAGCTACTCCAGAGGCTGAGGCAGGAGAATCACTTGAACTTGGGAGGCAGAGGTTGCAGTGAGCTGAGGTCATGTGATTGCACTCCAGCCTGGGTGAGAAGAGCAAAACTCCATCTCAAAAAAAAAAAAAGGCTTTTTTGCTTCAGTGATCAGAATCAAGAAACTGAGAAGACAACCCTCACATAGAAGAAAATACTCGTAGATCATATATTAATAAGAGACTTGTCTCTAGAACACATAAGTAACTTACACCCGATAATAAAAGCAACTGTTTTTAAATGGACAAAGGGTTTGAATAAGCATTTCTCCAAGTAAGCTATATGATGGCTGATAAAGCGACGAAAAGATGCTCGACACCATTAGTCATTACATAAATGCAAATAAAAGCCAGAATAAGACATCACACCCACTAAAAAGGCAGTAATAAGAAAATTACAAGTGTTCACAAGAAGAAATTGGAATCCCAATTCACCGCTAGTGGGAATGTAAAATGGTGTAGCTGCTTTGGAAAGCAGTCTGGCAGTTCCTCAAAATATTAAACGGAATTGGCCAGGTGCAGTGGCTCACTTCTGTAATCCTAGCACTTTGGGAGGCTGAGCTGGGTGGATCATGAGATCAGGAGTTCAAGACAAGCCTGGCCAAAATAGTGAATCCCTATCTTTACTAAAAATACAAAAATTGGCTGGGTACAGTGGCAGGTGCCTATAATCCCAGCTACTCAGGAGGCTAAGGTAGGAGAATTGCTTGAACCCGGGAGGTGGAGGTTGCAGTGAGCTAAGATCGTACCACTGTACTCCAGCCTGGCAACAGAGTGAGACTCCATCTCAAAAACAAATACTAAACAGAATTAACCTAAGATCCAGCAATTACACTTTCTTTTTTTAAAAAAAGACGGGGTCTCACTATGTTGCCCAGGCTGGAGTGCAGTGGCTATTCACAGGTGCGATCCCACTACTGATCAGCACGGGAGTTTTCCCCCGCTCCTGGGAGGTCACCATATTGATGTTGAACTTAGTGTGGACACCCGATTGGCATAGCACACTACAGCCTAGAACTCCTGGGCTCAAGAGATTCTCCAGCCTCAGCCTCCTGAATAGCTGATACTACAGGCACGCACCACCACACCCAGCTACACTTTATTTAATCTATCCAAGAAAAATCAAAGCATGCACACAAAAACCTGTACACAAATGTTCATAGCAGCATTATTCATAAGAGCCTCAAAATGGAAACAGACTAATGTCTACCAGCTGATAAAGGGATAAATAAAAGGCAGGCTAGGCATGGTGGATATTATTCTACAATAAACAGGAATGAGGTACTGATACATGCTACAACATGAGTGGACCTCAAAACCAGCCACAGAAGACCACCTACTTTGTGATTCCATTTGTGTGGAATCTCCAGAATGGACAAACCCATAGAGGCAAAGATTTCATGGATGCCAGGGGCTGGATGCTGGATGGGACTAGGGGAGAGAGTTACAGTGGAGTGACTCCTAAGGGGTATGGGGTTTCTTTGATGAAAGTGTAAAGTTAGGCTGGTGATGGCTGCACAATTATGTGAATATACTAAAACCCATTGAATTGTACACTTTATGTTGGTAAACTGCTTTTTGAGTTGGAATCTTGCTCTGTCGCCCAGGCTGGAGTGCAGTGGCGCCATCTTGGCTCACTGCAACCTCTGACTCCCCAGTTCAAAGGATTCTCCTACCTCAGCCTCCCAAGTGCTGTGGTTACAGGCGTGCACACCACCACACCAGGCTAATTTTTTTTTTCCTGAGATGGAGTTTCACTCTTGTTTCCCAGGCTGGAGTGCAGTGGTGCAATTTTGGCTCACTGCAACCTCTGCCTCCTGGGTTCAAGTGATTTTTCTGCCTCAGCCTCCCAAGTAGCTGGGATTACAGGCACGTGCCTCCACATCCAGCTAATTTTTGTATTTTTAGTAGAGACAGGGTTTCCCTATGTTGGCCAGCCTGGTTTCGAACTTCTGACCTCAGGTGATCCACCTGCCTCAGCTTCCCAAAGTGCTGAGATTATAGCACCAGGCCCCAGCCTTACATTGGTACATTTTATGGTATATAATCTCAATAAAATGGGAGTGGCATAGGGCTTCCTTGGGAAGAAATTTCTCCCGTGTCTGACAAACTGGGAGGAAGCAGGGCCACTGAGTCCTTCGCTAGACTAAGTTCTCAGAATCTAGTGGCCTTGGGCTCCTTCTAGCTCCTTTAACTTCAGCTAAAGTTGGGCTGACCTGGCTGAGCTGTGGAGTGTGCAGGAAGTCCCAGAGCCCTGTGGTAGTGGATGTGGAAAAGGATGGCTATATCCATTTGGTCCTGACTTTTTTTTTTTTTTTTTGAGTTGGAGTTTTGCTCTTGGTGCCCAGTCTGGAGTACAATGGCATGATCTCGGCTCACTGCAACCTCTGCCTCCTGGGTTCAGACAATTTTCCTGTTCAGCCTTCCAAGTTGCTGGGATTACAGGGGCCCACCACCATGCCCGGCTAATTTTTTGTATTTTTAGTAGAGACGGGGTTTCGCCATGTTGGCCAGGCTGGTCTTGAACTCCTCACCTCAGGTGATCCATCCGCCTCAGCCTCCCAAAGTGCTGGGATTACAGGTGTGAGCCACTGCGCCTGGCCATTTGCTCCTGCTTTTAAGGAATGTGCCCTTTACCCTGATCCCCTTTTTGTGGAACCCCAGGACCCCAGATATCTGTTGAGTCTGTGCCCCTGTCCAGGAAATGCCCCTCATCTTGAGGTCCTAGAACTGTGGGAGAGGGTGGCCTGGGTATCCTTGGCCTGGTGAGTCCCAACCTTTGTAGAGATAGAGAACAAAGTCTATCACCACCTTCACTGGATGGGACTGCACTTCTTTCTATCCCAGGAAGCTTGGGTGGAAGGGGCATTGGAGCTCAAATTCAGCTGGCGGCCTCAGAGTTCAGATCCAAGTGGCCTGCCTCCTCCACTACTCAGCCTACCCAAGCCATGTCCTAGGTGAGGGCTGCTCCCTGGTGGCCAGATAGGGAAGGACTCATTCCTTCTTTGGCAAGGTAGGCTGGGATCTGAGCTGGGCTGTGTAATAGGCAGGCAACTGCATTAGAAGGGCAGAGACGAAGGCATCCTAGGGTATTCTGGAGTGCATGAACAGAGGAGTAAGCTAGCCAGGAGCAAAAGATGAGATGAGCTGGAGAGCACGCAGAGAGCCCAGCCAGCTTGCTTCACACACACTACAGGAAAAGTAATGAGTTGTGTCACATGGTAAAGGATCAGGCTGGGTGTGGTGGTTCATGCTTTTAATCCCAGTACTTTGGAAGGCTGAGGCGGGTAAACCATGAGGTCAGGAGTTTTGAGACCAGCCTGGCCAACATAGTGAAACCCTGTCTCTACTAAAAATACAAAAAATTAGCCGGGTGACAGAAAGAGACTTCATCTCAAAAAAAAAAAAAAAAGCATTTCACTCAGTGTCCCTGAATCTTCCCCTCTCTCCCACAACCACTGTTTACAGAACCTTAAAAATAAAACAAACGAACATGATAATGTGTTCTCTTGCTCTGTTGCCTGGCCTGGAGTGCTGTGGTGCCATCTGAGCTCACTGCAGCCTTGACCTCCCAGGCTCAAGCGATCCTCCCTGCTCAACCTCCCA